AATTATAACAAATGGAGTATTCAGATCTGAATTTTAATGTCTCAAAAATATGTCTATTTATAAATTTTATCATTACTTTATTTGTTTATATTATTAGGTAGCAAACAAATTTTCTGCTTTATGATCAAGCCATTAGCTATAATGTTTGGATGATAAATCTGAAAATGTGCTTTATTTATTTATTTACTTTTAGTATGTGTATGTGAAAATGAAAAATACCACTGTGAAGTTCCTCACATGCTATTTTTAACATTATATGGCAAAGATTAATCATGAATAAAAAAGGAGAGAAATAGTATTTAGTCAAAAAACAGAAAAAAAAATATTTTACAGCTATGACAGGATATTTTAAGCCTCTCTTAGTTCTTGAACTGAAATGTTAAGTAGCCACTTGTTGGACTTCGGTATGTTGATTAAAAGTTGCATTCCCGTTATTTAAACTTTATTATTTGAAATCAAATTAAGACACCTGCATCAAAAATGTATGAAAGAAATCACTAATCTCCATCGTCAAAAATTTCTTTTGTTTTATAGAGAAATTTTATATTTATCTTTTTTATTTTTATATCCTTTCTCAATGTGACATTGTACAGAGAAGCTATAAGCTTACGTAAAAGTGCCCATTTGCCTGCGGACCCCCCCCCCAGCATGCAGCACTTGAAATTTATCTTCGAATTATTATGCTAAAAAAGATAGTTTGACAGAAAATGAATTGGCACAGCGACTTTTCTCAGCCTCCCGGGAATAGATTTGTTTTACAGTACAACTAATTTTTTCCAGCTTGCACTTCAGCGTTTAATTGCCATGATAGGGGCAATCTTCGAGATGCCTGTGGTAATCTTGAGGATTATAAAAACGATTGATTGATTCAAAAAACGCTGATTACGAAAAAACTACATGATGTGCTTTTTTTCTAGTCAACTACTGAACATTTGAGAAGCTTGCATGAAAAAAATATTGTGTATTACTAATGCTAATCTTTCTCGAAAATCAGTTTTCTTGAACTCGAAGTTTTCTAAAGAAAATTTAGTGTTTCCTAGGACTTCTTTAAAATTTCTTCCATTACCCCTCCTTTCTTTACAAGTTGAAAGTAGCCAGTATCCCTATCCAATGCTCCTAATGTCCTTTGTGAAATTTTGAATTATGAAACAATTTGTACACCCCTTGACCTTTTGGCTGATCTAGGAGAAAACGTGTACTTTATTGCTGTGATAAAAACGTGTACCTAGAAAAATAATTAATTTTTTTAAATAGAATTAAAATTTTCTATCTGAAATAAATCGAAAATGAGTTAGTGGAGAAGTCAAACAACGAAAATCAGCATTATATTTGTAAATTTTGCAGGACAAGTATCGGTGATTTCACTACAGAGCCATCTTCCCCAGCTGCCAAAGTGAAAATGAAAGAGATAAGAGAAGATAAGAATGACTGGACAGGAGTTAAGTTATTGGCGCCATCTACTGATGAAAAAAAAACTAAAATATACGAGTGTTGGAGCAAAAGTCATGGCAACTATTTTTTTCTTGTAGGTATGTGAACAGATCACAAAGCGTATACGTGTCGTGTGGAAGTTCTGCAGGCACAGTGTGTATGCAAAACAACAGATGGCTCTGTGATAGCTGTCTCTGTGGTAGCGAGGGCTCTGAAATCAGTCCGTTGGTGAGTGTTGTGCGAGATGGAAGTAACCCGTGTTGAGCAGAGAGCTTACATCAAAATAGCCGTCTTCCGAGGGAGAAATGCGATGGAATGTCACAGTGAATTAGTAGAAGCCCTTGGGAATAATGCTCTGCTATATCGTACAGTAGCACGGTGAGTAGGAAAGTTTCAGCAAGGACGTGTGTCAACCAGTGATGAGCAACGTTCGGGACCGGTGAGTGTGCAGACCAAATTGGCACGTGCCGTCATTGAGCACCTCATGGATGAAGACAGACGATGGACATTACTGGAGTTAGAGAGAGCAAGTGGCATCGAGAAACGCACCGTCCACAGGATATTGCGTAATGAGCTACAGCTACACAAAATCGCTTCGCTGTGGGTACCGCATGCACTGACGGAAGTTCGAAGGTGGGTGCACTATGCAATATGCTCCGACCACTTTGCACGCTGGCAACGGGACGGCGATCAATTCTTGTCACGAATAAACGCCGTCGATGAATTTTGGGCCAGGGCATACAAACCAGAACTGAAATATCAGTCCGCGGAGTGGCGACATCCTGGATCGCCAAGGCAGCAGAAGGTCCGTCAGAATCCTTCCCCAGTCATATTGATGGTGATCGTCGCGTATGACGACAGGGGTGTCATTGTTTACAACTTTGTTCCTTATGGCAGAACAGTGAACGTACAGCACTACAGGGACTTCCTGGTGCGACGGGTACGACGTGGCGTTCGGGATAAATGTCCGGATCTTATGGACAGTGCAATAATTCTGCACGACAATGCAAAACCACATAAAGCAGAGTGTGTACGGCAGCTACTCCGATGTTGGGGATGGGAAGAATTGGAGTACCCAACCGTACTCTCCTGACCTTTCGCCCTGCGACTTTGATCTTATTCCCAAGATTGAGGAACCAATACGTGGTAGGCGGTGTGCAACACGAGAGGGCATTGCTAACGCTGTGCGCCAACAGATGACTCGATTCACACATGGTGCGGCAAATGCTGAGGCTGATGGTATTCAGCGCCTCCCACATCGTTGGCAGCGTGTGGTGACAGTAGCAGGGGACTACATTGAGGGTCTTTAGGCCCATGTTTGTCATGTCAACCTTATGTGTATTGTGTTATCATTCTTTTTCACGGTGAAGGCCATATTGCCTTGTACACTACCGTAATAAATTCGTGTTACGATATTTCAGTGCTATTCATTGTCCACACATGTAGTTAAGACCTTGTCCTTTCGTCTGTATATGTTACATTTTCCAACTGGACTGGTATCGTTAAGGAAAAAAAATAGTTGCCATGACTTTTGCCCCAACCTATGTAATTTCCTTAAAGGCTGAAGGAGTTATGTCGTAAAATACTACAATAAAATAGCTGATACAATTTTGTTTACTATTCCTTCTCATATTAAGTCTCAAAATGCATATACAGTAAGACCCCGATTAACGCGGGGGATACGTTCCATCAAAGTAGAGCGTAATGCGAAACAGCGCTAAACGAGGCTATCTTTACATGTAAATATTGGGGTTAGGGGAAGATGGCTAGGAAACTGGTTAGGTATTAAATTTAAAAAGTATGTTTTTTTTAATAAAAATAAAACCAAACATTTATTTCTTAAAGCCCAAATTAATACCACATTATTATTTCTTGCAAAAATAAAAACAGAATATAAATAACAAAACGAATATTCTTAAAAAAAAAAAAAAAAAAAAAAAAAAAAAAAAAAAATAAAATTCTCAGTCAGTCATATTTAGTTAGCCTTCCGCGTTTTCAGTGTTCTGCCTTTTTGTGACAAAAGCATCTAATGTTGTTTGCCTTTTTCTTTTGCGTTGTTCTCTTAAAAGTTCTTCATAAACGGATAGAGCATCTCTAACACCACGCCTTACTTTTGAGCTCCTGTCAAAATTCGGATCATTTTCAATGAATTGATCCATTATTTCAGTTATGGTAGACAAAACTCCTTTTTACAAACGCCATCGAAAGTTCTTTTTGCTCTTCTTCTGAATCACTGCTGTCAACATTTTTGTTTTCTTCTTGTTCAGTTAATTCCTTGAGCTCATCATTAGAAAGACTTGCCGCTGCTTCTTGAATTATTTCTTCGACATCTTCCACATTTACCCCTTCAAAATATGTCTGTACAATACCGCACCAAACAAGAAATACAAGTACACTCTTTCGGATATGTATTTGAAACCTATCGCTGCATAATATTTCGGGGAATCCCCGTATGCTGCGAGCGATTTCGTGGAATCCCCGGGTTGAAATAAAAGAGCGCTAAACCGAAACAGCGCTAAACGAAACAGCGTTAAGCGGGGTCTTACTGTACATCTTTAAAGTTGGAATTATTCTTTATTTTTTAACTATCCCATGCTATTCATTCCATGCATTCTTATTCCCATGTAAGTCATACTGTAGCGAGTTTTATGCTTTCGCTTATTCTTTAGAGAATCGGGAGCTGACTATTATTATCATAATGCGTTGCATTTTATATACTTAGATCTCGCTCTTTTAAATTATTTCCTTTAAAATGGATAAATTTTATTTTACTTATTTACTATTTTCGATATAGTTTCCCATTGCTTATATAAAGCGGCCCTCCAAAAACGTAGCTCTTCTTCAGTACTGCTTTCATTCTTTGTGAAGGAGGCCGTAATCCTTATTCTCTATCTGCTGACTATCTATCCGTACGTCGGCTTAACAAAGGTTATGTTATAGCCTTATATTGCCTTCTTTTCCAATTCCTCTGTAACCATTGCATTAGAATGGCGGAATCCAGTTTGTCAAAGTACCGCTGGAGTTAGGCTATTATTTTGTGGAGCAGTTTGTATTTGTAGATATAGATTTATGAGAGAAAATTGGAACAGCTTTTCCAAAAATTAGTGTTGTTAACAAAGCTTTCATTTGTGATGCTTACATAAATTTAATATAATGAAAAAAATAATGGTTAGTTACGTTGTAAGAAATTATCTCTTTCCTTAATGCCAGCAACTGGAAGCACTTGCATGCAGTAGTTAGGAGATCCAGATTGCTATATGCAATCCTCGAGAGATCATTGTTGATTTCCGAATTTTGAAATGCTGGAGAGGTCATTGTTTATTTTCCATGTTTCCTCCTTCGAAATTAACCTACAGACTCTAGAATATTTTATATTGTTTATTTCAATCTGAATCTAATATTAAATACTATGGGTCATAAAAAAACAGTTAAGTAAGTTAATTATTAAATTAACAGAGTGGTCAAGACCCCTTTTTCAAATGCTTTTCAGTGCTTTTGTCCTTCTTTCAAAAGCTTTATCGTAAAGGAAAAGAGAGTTACAATTGAAAAAATATTACTCGAGTTGCATATTTGGAAATTTAAAAATCATAATTTTTATATTTATTAATAGACGACACTGTTACAGGAAAGAAAGCCTATTTTTAAAGTACACATTTCCAGATCAAAAATAAGATTTCTAAAATTAAAATATTTTTCAGTTGTGATATTAATTTTCGGGTCCATTTGATACTTTCTAAGAAACTTAAATTTGAGTGAACTTCAATAAATTTACGTACTAGAAACACATCATTAATATAAATTATATCATATTAAAATTTATTTAGGTTCAGACAGCTCATACGAACGTATTCATGGTTCATAAGCACAATTACATAAAGCATCAGTTGCTCTTCCCGTGAAATAAATTAAAAATAAGTCAGAGGCAGTTTATCGCTATTGTTGCTTTAAAGGCTATGGGTAATTTGGATCAAAAGATAATATATAAAATGTTCTTCGATGACAACAGGATCGAGAAGGTTAAAGCAAAAAGCTCGATGTGACTTTCTGACGATGAGGGTGACTAAAATAGAAGACTCAATATTGAAGTATGGTGTTTATTTAAATAAGTCAGACGACCAAGGCTCTGAACTCGATATGCAGCTGCTTCTTCGTACCGAATTCTAAGCAGTTTTTATTTAGGAAATGGGAATCAACTAAAATTTGCATTTCTTAATAAGTAACTTACGTTTAGAATTACAGGAATTAGTAATTTTAACAAGTATGAATTTTCAAGACTAAAATGGCAGGACTTAAATTTTAGTTACATTATATATGGTTCTTATGTTAAACTGCCAAGTTGTTAAGATTTTGATCTATACTATAACTTCTTTCCGTATTTCTCACCACAATTCAAATTTTCTTTTACATTATATAAGTTTAGGGGGTTTTGCCTTCTGGAGTGACTGTGCTCTCTGTAGTACAGGATCGGTAACTAGTTTAAAGATATCTTACCGTCTCTCCACTTTCCTCATTTGAGATTTAATTTGAGAATCGTCATTAGCTGATGAAAAATTCTGCCACATTTGAAAACGTACCTACTAATACTTGACGACTTTCAAATTTCATCGCTAGTTGAAAACGTTATTCTATCATACCCAGGTTTTTTTTCTAAGTTTAAAAGTACTGAATCTAAGGCAACAACCTAGGCAATATTATTTGAATAATTTCTGCATCAGATTTCGTTTTCAATATATCAGATTTATCATCTGCACTTTCTTTAAAATAAGTCCATTGTTTCCTCTTCCCTAGTCTGATATTTACCAAAACGTTCCTCCTTTAATTTCACGCTACATTTCACTACAGGAAACACTTTCAAAAGAGGCGGTTTTAAACAGATCAAGTATATAATTCTTACTGCCTGGTTCACATAATAAAAATTTCCCAATACCTTTGTACCAGTTCAGGGCTTGTCTTCGAAGAGCGGAGGTTACTATGGTGACCTTCTGCAACTTTGAAACAGGGTGTAATAAAAATTTCGTTTCTAATTCTTCTAAAAAGCTTAAGATCGAACTTATCACATCGAAGGTGATGACGATTTTATTGATGCGCTCATGTTGTCGGTAATAAAACTGAAGCCTTTCAGGCGACTTCCTGGTGTAGAAGGAACTAGAAATCTTTGAAAGGGGGTGGGGCAGGATAAATATAACAGTCAAATAAATTTTAAATTAATAATAAATAATGATATCAAATACATTTAAATGTCTCACACAACACAGTCGAATGACTAAGCTAAAAGCTGGCACAAGTAATTTTGATGGCGCATGAATTTAAAATATCAACCGCAAGAGAATGCAAAAGTCAGATAATCACTTTTAGATAAGAGCTGGTGAAATTTAACAGCGCAGGGGGAGTACTAGAAACTCTCCCTCTCTTAAGATTCAAAACGCCTCAGCTTATACATTCTAACTATCAGTTTATATGTTCTCAATGATAATTTGCATTCTGGGGAGGATTAAGAAAGATGAGATCAAACTATAATAACTATTTAGTTTAATATAAGAACCTTCTAACCTAGCTAAAAGCAGGATGGGACTATAAGATACTTGCCTCTAGAAATACTTATAATTTATATAAAAGTTATATCATATCCTTGTATGTAAATGAGTATATTTTGTAAGTTATGTTACAGACCTTGATGGACTGACACAGAGATTTATTTATTTAATTAATAATGTATTAACAGTAATGGTAGCATACACTATGAAATGGTTTTATACAACAAACAATAATTAAAATCTAAAATAAAATATTAGGTGTACAAAACCCAGTGGAAATATTTTCAATCAATAACGCTATTTCATTTAAGCGTCGAGTGTTTTGAAATAAGAAACTCTTTTGGTATTTATAGATTAAGCAGCTCATTCATGATGCTCAGGCTCAGATTTCCAAAGATAAAGATCAATTTCCGGCAAGCTGGAGCATGGCACTACTGGATTTCTGGAAAAGGAAAGAGTTCTGTTTATAATCATTCAAACATCTGTAAATAATTAATAGCTCGCTAAATATAAATTTCATTAAACACTTGAGTAAATTTGATCTATTTTTTTAGAAAAGCAATATGATTAGAAGCTCTTTAAAGAAAAGCATGGATTCGCTGCTATATTTGGTTTACCTTTGCTTGGGATAGAAATCATACTCAACCCCCAACCCCAATTTTAAATACCACTTCATATCCAGTTATACTCATTCAAAATGAGAAAACAAGATAATTATTCAAAATGAGATAACAAGATAATAAATAATAAGAATTCACATTTTAAATTTATGAAATATTTCCATAAATTTAAAATACGTCTATTTTATGGTACCTTTCTCTTAAGTAAAGTCATCATTAAATTAAGAAATATAACAATATATGTATGTTTTTCCAAAAAATTGTTGATTATAATTATTATATATTTATAATTATAATTATACCATAATTTACATAAAAATTGTTAATGTTTGAGTCTAATAATTTGTTTGCATAGGATAATAGATTTTGTATTAATCTTCATTACATTTATTGCATAATATCACAGACTATTCAAACAATAACGCAATTTTACAGTCTATTCAATCAATAACGCTATTAGTCAATTTTATAGTCTAGTCTTATTGCATATTATCACAGTCTGAAATTTTTCTAAGTGCTTTCCAATTCTATTTAAATTTCGCATTTCAATTTTACCCATGCAGTGGAATTTCAAATGTTGCTTAGGTATAATTTTGAAATTTTATTTCTAGTTAAGAGGTAAAATGTTAAATAGAGTCGTTTGAATTGATGATATGATACTTCTTTGATTTGAGAGTGATAAAAAAAGAAGTGCATTATTTGCACATTTGAATATATTATTTTGCCATATTCGTTTGGGTACAAAAGCATTTCTTCTTAAAGATTTTTTCTTAAGGCGATTTATTTTAATGCTACTATGTTTTCTTAAACAAATATGGCTATTAAATATTATTTCGTGGTTGTATGCACTGAGTAATTCAAGGTTAGTCAAACTAATTTCTTTAAGAGATATAGCGTTATATATTATTTTAGCATAGTTTCAAGTGAATTAAAGAAATATTTTTGCAGTTAATTTAGAAAATATGAATTTTTTTGAAAAATGTTCTCCCTTTGTGGAATTGTTATTTTGTAGGTAGTTTTATCTACATAATTAATTAATTCTTTCCTCTCATTTCAAGCCGACAGTAACGTGAAGACGCTGATTATTAGCATTTAAAAAATACATAAATGGAAGATAGTAAGAGAATTTAATACTATTTCTACTTGAATTAAACTGGATCACAAGTTAGTCTTCATTTGGCCCTTAAAAGCACAATAAATTGTAAGTTACCAATTGTCGAATCAAAAGATTGCCTTTTAGTACTCTTGATATTTATTACTTCTTAGTTAAGGAACTTTACCATGACGGATGTAAGAAAACTTTCCAGAGTAGCTCATAAAGAAATATTTACTATTATCTTAAATTTGAAACAGGACAAGCGTAAACTCTTATCATTATAAGCTTTCGAATTAACACTTACTCGTCACTTGGGGTAAGCAGCGCGCTCATTTGCATCTCCTTCACTTTAGTATTATCACATATAAGTCTAGAAAGTGATGCATTATAGATGGCTTCTATCTTTTCTGAAAACAAAATGCCTTGAATAAATATTACTCTGAAAACACTTAAAGTGTAAAACAATTTCAGTTTCTTCTTTCCATATAATTAGGAAATAATAAAATCTAGAAATTTCGCAACTAAACTATTTAATTTTACATAAATATAAAAAAATTATGAGTTAAAATACAATATAAAAATTAAATTGAATAAAAATATTTTAAAGAAAGATCTAATAATTTAGAAAGGCATTAAAACATAGTAACACTCTCGAACACATATGCTGCCCAGTTCTATTTTGCTTTACAGTTTCTTCAGTATTATATATTCCAGTAATAATGTATTCTATAATTCAGTTCTTTTTAGTTCAAAAGAGCTATTAGTCTCGAAACACGATTTTGTATTGCTTCATTTTAGTGCATTATTTCACTTTCATCCGAATCTGTTGCCATTCGGCGAAATGTAAGCTATTTATCTTTCACTTTGATTCTGTCTGTCTATTATCGATTAACAAACTGAGCTATTTAAAAGCAACAGGTACAAATCTTAAGAATATAAATGTTTACTTATTAATCAGATTTTTTATCAGTAAATTTATTAATACCTTGATTTATGAATAATTTGTTGATTTTACTAATACATTTTCAGTACGACTAATTTAAATAAAAATGCACTTAACTCATAATGTATCTAATTAAAAACATTCAATATTTTTAGTGAAATACATTACAGAATTTTCACTTTTCAAATATACAGAATATATTGAACGTTCTGATGTAAGAATAAATGGATGTTCACTTAGCATCTTATAAAATGTTTCGCTATTTCACCTGAGCGATTTATATCTCTACTACGAACCGTATTAGATTTTAAAAGAGCTCTTTCGGACGACCGTTGAAATCTAAATCTTTTAAAATTTTTGTTACAATTTTACTTACCCTAACGGTATTACTACGCACGGCGCGAATGATGTAATCAAGACTCCGAAAACAATCGTATTTAATTAAGATGTGCATTATATAAATTAACATTTCATTGGAAAACTGTTCCGCAGAAAATTAATTTGTAATTTATTACTTGATATTTTATTCTTCTTATAAAACTCCGAAAATGAAAACTGTGTAAAACGAGTGTTGCTTACAAACAAATGAAAACAAAATTTTTAATTAAATTTTGATACGATTTATAGGCAACTGAAAATGTTTTTAACAAACTCACGAGCTAAAATGTATGTAACTGCATAAATAAGCTAAAATATTTTATTCTGGTTAATAAATTTTCTCCAGTTACAAGAGCATTTTAAATTTTATCCTTAAGAACTAAAGAGGTATTTACATAACTAAATCATCTGATACTGACAAACCTTAAGATTCATGATTCGCACCGCGGCGAGGCGCATTTGAATTTTTAAATTTACTGTAATTTAAAAAAGGCTAATAGTGATGTACGAACTATAATGGTGTTGACTCGTCTTACCATGGATTTAGTCAACTACGTCTCATGCAATAAGTGGGGAAAACTGCAGCGAAATATCACATTTCTCATATACGTTCTTGAAGCATAAATGGACTTCTAAACTTCCATACAGTAATATATAGAAGAGCCGTATTGAACAAACGTACTTTAATCCCACTGTTTGACTGAATTGTATTCTGATCTCACTTATCCCAAAAGCATCATAAACAACTAAGCTCAAAATATTCTACAAATTTATTACCTAGCGGTATTTTTATCTCACGACTTTTGGTCGCATAGTAAGGTTGGTAACTTGAAAATGATTGAAAACCCGTACCAGCGTATGATCTCCTGCGTCTATTTAAATAGCAACGAGCTTTAAGTAAAGTATCACTTCTGTTTGATTGTTTGCAAATAAAATCTAATCTGCTGTTACAAGGAAAAGAAATGTTTATAATAGGAAATTTTTAGATTATATTCTCTTAGGTATAATTGACCATATAGAAAAGTTATTTAATTTACATAAACGTAATCAATGTTTTTCCCTTTACTTCGTTTCGTTAAAAATATATTTTATTGGGCAGTTGAATAACAAATAATTTAATTTTTAACTTAAAAAATTAAATTTTTATAAGATATTTAAAATAAGAATTTCGATGCTAATACCATAATTTAATTTTCTTCTATGTTATTTCTGTAGCATCAGCAAAACTAATATTACTTTCACTTGCACGTAAAATTCATGCGATATTTAGGTATCAACAAACAATTACTCGTTAGTTTTTGGAAATACACCTGAATAGTGAGTACCGTGCTTTCCAGGATCAGTAAGAAGTAAATGAATAGGTGTATTCAAATTTGCTGTTGTGTTTCTTCATCATCGACAATGCAAGAGAGAATAATAAGTGTATTTTTTGGCAGTAAAAGTCACAGCTCTTGCATTACAAGAGTTCAATAACAATGGGAACAGCATATTGGATGTTGCTGAAATTGGTTAACCGGAATCAATACTTATATATTTGTTGAAGCTCTGAATAGATTTTCATAAAAAAATGCATTATGATTTGGTCTACAACTTCTCATATTTACTATTTAATACTCATATTTGCATATTCGATGTATATAATATTTATTATAATTATTAAATATATAATATTTATTCCCGAAGGAGGTTTGTACGCAATCATTATTAAGATGCAAACAAAGCACTATTATAAAATCATTCTCTTATACTGCTTTATATAAATACATATCACGTCTAGATATAACCGAAATAGCCTTCATAAGTGCTGCACAATTTTATATTAAACGCATATAACAGTGATTATATATTTTTTCACTAAAAATTGTTAAGCGTTCATTATATATGGTATATCGAAAGTACCGCTTTGATTTACCATATACAATCAAAATCTAATATGTTTTCAATAATGTTTGTGTAAGCATCGAATATGAAAATGCGAGTATTAAATAGTAAATATGAGAAGTTTTCGATCACACCATAATGCATTTTTTTCATGAAAATCTATTCAGAGCTTCAACAAATAAAGTATTGATTCCGGATAACCAATTTTAGCCATCATACAATATGTTGTTCCCATTGATATTAAAGTATTACCCACTAATATTGAAAAGTTTTGTATTATATTTTATTACAGTTTTTCATTAAAAACTGCTATGGGCTTCAACTAAAGTACAGCTTTCGGTTTTCAGATTTCACCCAAAATCTAATCAACTCTTTATATGAATGCAGAAAGCTTAAATATGAAAAACAAAAATTTTCGGAAATTTATAAAGAGTTATCGCCAACGAAAAATTCATCACACACATACGCATAGACATCATTGTAAAAACAGTAAACATATATGCAGACCTCATTTAAAATAGCAAAAACTTACTCTGGGGGGACCCTAATTCGTTATTATTCACTGAAAATTCGCTGTCGAAATTTTGGGTCGGACAACCTTATTTCCCTTAGCTATATAAGGGAGGTAAAAAATAATAGAGGTATTATATATATATATATATATATATATATATATATATATATATATGCTTATATATTATATATATACATTGGATGGACAAAATATGAAAACACCTTGTGAAATGCATGTTTGAAAAGAAAGATTAATTTTAATGAAATATGTAGGTGGCGCTGGCGTTTTTGACTACTGACGCCACCTGTACAACTTCGTAAATGTGCTAAACAGTTCAGTTGTTGTCGGAGTACTGTTATGTGAAGTTGTCATTGCATTATGTCAGAGTTAACAGACTTCGAACGTGGGAAAATAGTTGGAGCACGTATGGTAGGTGCTTCCGTAAGCAAGGTAGCCGAGGTGTTTAGTGTTTCAAAAGGTACTGTATTGAAGATTTATTCCGCATATTTGAAAAACATCATCTGCTAAATCACAGCGCGGACGAAAGTGTGTCCTGAGTGATCGTGACAGACGATCATTAAGGGCAATTGTGACGAAAAATAAGAAGACCACAGCTGCAAAAGTTACTGCTGAAATGAATGTTGTGTTACCGAACCCTGTGAGTACCAAAACAATTAGAAGGGAGCTTCATAAACAGGGAATTGCTGGCCGTGCTGCAATTGAGAAGCCACTCATCAGTGATGCTAATGCCTGTAACAGGAAAAGGTGGTGTTTAAGTCATAAAGCCTGGACTATAGAGCAGTGGAAGCGAGTAAGATGGTCTGACGAGTCTTCTTTCACATTGTTTCCCACTTCTGACCGAGTTTACGTCTGGAGAACGCCATCTCAAGCCTATAATACAGACTGCTTGTTGCCAAGAGTGAAACATGGCGGGGGTTCTGTTATGGTTTGGGCAGCCATATCGTGGTTCTCTGCTAGCCCCATGATAACTGTGTCAGGGAACATGACTGCCGAGACTTATGTGAACATTTTGGCCGATCAAGTTCATCCCATGGTACAAACTTTGTCCCCCGATGGTGATGGTGTCTTCCAAGACGACAAAGCTCCTGTTCACACAGCTCACACTGTCCAGGACTGGTTTTCTGAGCACGAGGATGAGCTGTCCCGTTTCCCCTGGCCACCACAGTCACCAGACCTGAATATTACCGAACCTTTGTGGTCTACATTGGAACGAAAAGTGCGTTCTCGTTATCCACCGCCAACATCGTTATCTGAACTTGCCACCGTTTTGCAGGAAGAATGGTATAATATCCCCTTGGCAAACATACAGGAACTGTATTTATTCATTCCAAGAAGACTGCAAGCTGTTTTGGATGCCAACGGGTTTCCTACACCATATTAAGCAAAGAAACATGTTTTTTTAAAGGTGTTTCCATATTTTTGTCCAACCCCTGTATATAATATATATATAAAGTAATAATTTAATAATAAATAATTAATAAATAATTTATTGTCATCCAAGCATATTATCATTTTGAAAATTGTTAGCCCTAACGTTGCATAACAACAGCATCATGAAATTCCTAAAAGAAAATTTTCGACAGACTCACGTCACTCCGCCATAAGAAAGCAAGTTTAATTTCTCCCACCGCAGCGGCCGGTCGCTGGAGGGCCTGAACGCTGGTAGATCGGTTCAAGGTTCGAATCCAGCGAACTTGCAAGACTTTCGAGATCATGAAACGTGGAAACTTAACTGTGACATTGCAATAATTTGGGCCAAGGATATTCTGTTTACCAATGTATATGCTAATCATTCAAGCCACAAAAGCATGCAGCGGCAATGCGGTATTTCCTTTCAAAATGGAGTCGTGAACATAGTACTTATACTACGTGATAACATATTTACCGATAATTTTATCACTCCAAATTCATAGATAGGTGAAAACTGAAGCACTGTATTCTTTCTTTCTCTCCCTCTCTGTAAGTGCACAAGTACTCTACAAAAGTATATTCTAGTTATTTTGTTTTTGTTATTTCATTTCGCAGTTGAAATGTGTAGATTTGTGTGCCTGAAATTCTTCAGGCACACCGATTAAAGAGGACACTAAGATGATATCAAATAAAGATTTTTAGAAGCATGAACAAACCATTTTTCGGGATTCAAAAATATATATTTTAAAGACATTTTTAAGTGCCATCACCAAATTTTTAATTCAACTATTCAGAAGGTGTTTCGTACTTAAGTGGTTTCATCATGTTAACACTAAACTGTATTTTTGGCTCACCTTTACTGTATGACGTAGGGAGACCAGTGTGAGTAAAGAAGAATCTGTCTCCATCTTTGAGGAATTTGAATTGAATTGCATTGATACAGGCAGCTGTTGGTGGTACTACTGAACTATCACTGTTATATTCCATTTGGAGCCCTACAATCAAGTCAATATCAACCACATCCCTGAAATAGAAGCATATGTTACTGCTCTGTATCACAAATCTCTTTTTAAGTTCAATAAAAAATACAAGAAGTGACTTTGCATGCAATGTTCTTCTTTGCATAAGTGATTCCACTTTAAATAAATCAACATTCGTATAAGTAAAGTACAATCTTGGAAACTACAATTACAAAAGAAAAATCAAGACTGTACAATAGCACAATAATATTCTATAACTGTATATTGTGACCCCAGTTTTTCATGAAGCTTCCCTTAAAAAATGTGGACGCTGCGCATTTACTAGTGAGAGATGCTAAACAGGATTTTCCATCCTTCCCCCCTCAGAGAAGCGCAGAAACTGCGAGCAGAAGAAAACTCGAAATCCGACGCAGTTTGAAACAGGTGCAAATGCAAATGAATACATTACTATTTAAGCAGGTTTAATATGAATAATTTTTTAACGTTGTCATCACTTACTAACTGTCTACAATTATTACCATTTCGACGGGCTTCGCCGCATGAAAATGAGATAAAACTCGTAATGTAATGGGAGAAACCTTATTTAATTACTTGTCTGAAGGTAATTAATTAGAGAAATACGGGTGACTTTTGGATATTATTATATTTTTGGAAGAATAATGGTGTCTTTGTGTTATTATGCATAATTAATTTGGAAGTATGTGTACTCTGCATGTTATTAATTTTTACCAAAACTAATAATTAGAAGAGAACTGGATTTTTTTTTCGGTTTATTTAATTGTATAAAAGGCGTTTAATAGGAAAGCATTAGCACTTTATAATTTGAGATATTTACTGAGAAAACCCTGATATATTTTTTTTATTTACAAGATAATTAATTTGGGTAATTTTTTTAATTCGCATTTTGTCCATCGCCTATGGCCATTTTTAAGTGCCCTTGAGATAAAGAAAGAATCCCAACAGCTGTCAAAACACGAATGCCAACTACACAGGTATGAAAAGGTTACATATTTACCTGCTCAGGGAATTATGTAGCCTCTTCAGTGTGAGCAGGTGGGTGCGATTAGTAACGCTTTTCACATTAATAGATAATTCATGCACTGAGCCTACAATATATTTTGTCCCAAAATAGAAATATAGTGATAATACAAACTAAATCTTTCAAGGAATATATAGTAATAGGAAGGTTATACTAGCAAACAACTCCATGTCTACGCAATTTATATTCATGTTTGGCACCAGAAATTACTCGATAGCTGAAAAGTGATATAAACATTATTATACAATCATTAGTAGGAAAAAGTGCGAATAGCTAAGACTCGAAGGCCTCCTGGAGCTAAATTGCTCGATCTAGAGTTTGTCAAATTTGACTAAAATATTAACTGAGTATACAATATAATTCCTGAAAAGTCACAGACTCAGTACTTCTTTATTAATGGTAGTTTTCTAAAAAATTCATTCAACCAGTCTTACCTACTAGTGAGGTAAGACAGGCGCACATGTTAAATTTATGGGAAATTAGAGAAAAGACTTTCAGTAGAAAAGTGGCAGATACTTTAATTTCATATGACAGTTTAAGAATATTATTTACAAATTCTACAATTAAAGCCTTCTTTCTCAACTTCACTAAAGCTTTTGCAGACCCACCAAGACACTTTCTACATTGGATCCACCACTATCTATTTTTCTGAAATAGAAAAGACATCACTACCCTATAAACAATCAACGTCTGATAAGATTTTATCGTCTTCATCGGGTGAATCATCATTTCAGTATTCACGTTTTCTGATGAGACTATTTTGTTTATTACTGGTTCTTCATGCGCTTCTCTTTTTAGTTGTTTTGTTTTGGGATTTTCTTTTTATGTTTCTTAAAGTGAAGACAAAACTGTTTTCCTTTCCTTGTGGGAACAATATAGCGGCGAGCTTAACAAAATAACATTGTTCCCAGAGGCAATGTTGATCAGATCGAAGCATTTCGTATGTGGAGCATGTCGGTCCAAAATCAAGACTAATGTTTTCAACGGGGCTTAGACAACTCGAAATTTTCTTCAGACTTTCGAAACCAAAATAATTTCTCTTTGCATCAACAGAAAAAAAGGACATTGAGCAAAGCTACTCGGGAGTAACGTCATCAATGAGCATGGTTTTTTAATATTTTTCTAGGGAAAATCAACATTGTTAGCAGGGAGTTATCGGTCACTCGCATACGCTTCCACTCCAGTATCATAAATTAAGGAAAAACCACAAAAATTACGATTACTCAAAACGCTGTAGAATTTAATGAAACAGACCCACATTATACAACACATAAGGTATAAAATAACATGAAAAGAAATTGCCAGACAATTATGTTGTTATAAAATTAGCATATGCATAAAATGAACAAATAAGAAGTGTCAGTTTGGCATAGGAAAATTATATACAATATGGAGCATAATCTCCCCTAGAAACACTACAACACATGCGAAGAAGTGCGATGCTGTCCATTATGCAGTCTATCAGTTCCGTAGGACGTGAGAGCCAATGCTTTTGCAAAGCAGTAGCAACTGTGGCAATGACGTGAAGAGTAGGACTGTAAGCTGCTACACGTCTTCTTAAACCATCCCAAACATGCTCGATAGGTCCGGTGATCGAGCTGGCTACTTCCTGCTCTGAATTGTTTGCTGCTGAAGATAATAATCCACGATTTGAGTCCTATGACGTCAAGGGTTGTCGTCCTGTAGCAGGAAATTATCCCTTATTGCCCCTAAGCATCAAGGATGTCATCTATATAGGCGTGAGCATTCATGATTCTACGTGGAAAGACATGAAGATTTGTGCGTACCACCCCAAACAAAGACACTGTCTCCTCCGTTTGCATCTCTTTTCAGGATTTTTGACGGATGATAAGGATTCCAGGTTCTTTCCAAATCAAATAACGCCTACTATCGCTTTGGAGGCTAAACGTGGGCTCATGCATAAAAAGAACAGCCCTCCATTGATCAGCTGTCCAGTTGACGTGCCCACCTCAAATGGTTTTTTTATGCCGTGATGTGAGCGGCACATAAATGGCTGGTGGCCTCGCGTACATACTTCCTATGTGAAGCTTCCTACGCACGGTCGACGTTGACACCAATCATTAAGTGGCTGCAGCAAGGGGGGATATGAGAGGAGTCGGAGTTGAGGTTCTGTTTCTTCGTGCGCATTAGAACAAGATAGTCATCAGTGTTGGTCGTAGCGAATGACCATCTTTGGCTGAACCTCTTGAATGCCGAATCTGTGATTAGTAATCGTTACCGAAGTCTATAAAGCACAAAAGGTCTCATATTTAGGCATCTGGCCACTTCTGTCTGACTTTGTACTGCTTCTAGTCTACCAGTAACTCTCCATTGCAGTTCTTACGGCAAATAATGCCTGGAGGTTATTGTTACAAATTGGCTGTCTTAGAATTCTTACCTGAGTACAACATCGAAATCTGCAGGCTTGCTCTGAACGTGCAATTTAAGTCTCCACACAGATGACGCATTTCGATTGCATCGCCACCATTTTGCATACTGCGGTTTTACTCAGCAATTCTTATTTGACAAATTGTTCAAATTTTATATGAATTGGCTCATTTTTGAACAAGTCATCGATATTTTTGTGATTTTTCCTTAATTTTTGGAACCCAGTGTGTATCACAACAAGAAAATTTGTGTTTCTAACAGAAACGCTTTAACAAATCAAATATTTCTCAACAATCTGTTTATTGAAACCCATCGTTCTTGATACTGAAGTATTTTCTGGTATTCGCAGGTGAAACCTCGTTCTTATATCTGTTTAGGCCAAGGACGGTAAAACTATGTTAGATTAATAGAAAAACAAATAAAATCCTAGATTAAAAATTTATTGCTCTATTCTGAATATTCACTCCTTTTTTGTACCTAAACATTTACATTTCAATACGTGCGACGTAGGGAGTAATAACGAGAATATAATTTACTCTGCAGTATACCTCGAGTGCAGATGTTATGAAAACAAAGCAGAAGCACACCACTATTAGATTAAATCTTATTGCTTTTAGGGTGTTTTTTAGGGCAAGACCAGCTTATATTAATACATAATAAGCTGGTCTAAAGGCGAAATTTTTATAACTCTAATCACTATTAAACAAGAATAGTTTAAAAAAAAGAATGCTGGAGAGTTGACACACACACACACACACACAAAAAAAAAAAAAAAAAACACTGACCCATGTAGACGTCGTGAATTCAGAAGCAAAAGTCTTTACTTTTTTACCTGACTTTTATCCTTTTATCTTTTATCTTCTTTTTGGCTAGTGCAGTACATTTCAGAATCTATCTGCTAGAAAGCACAAATAAGGACTTCAAACTCTCGCTACCTGGTCTTACCCCACCATCCCATACTAAATAATAATCAGTGAATATGCTTACTGCATTGCAGTAGCTGATCATATTGTTCGTCACCTAATAATTATTTTAGAGCTTTTATGTTGGGGAATTGCTGACTGAAAACTTTTACGAATTGTTTTCACTTTTTCAGATTTTGTTGCTTTTCATATAAATCTATGCCATGACTGGAAATGATTTCTTTCTTTAAATACACTGTTTTAAAGATGTAACCTGAAATCGTATAATTTAAAAATACATTGATAACAATAAATACATACTTGTTAGAAGTGTTCCTATGACATTTTCCTGCTCATTTTATAAGGTATTTCTCCCGCCTTCTTAGCGATCCTTCGTGGTGTAGTGGTCAGCACACTCAGCGCGTAATTAAGAGGTCCGTGGTTCGATTCCCGGCGAAGGTGTTTGCTAATTTTTCATCTCTCTTGCCTCCAAAAAAATTTGATTTCACTGTCTCTATAATTTACAAATCTAATTTGATATCACTGAAAATCCTAATGTCTCTACAATTTGATGAAATGATGCTCACTGTTATTCAAATAATTTGATTTCACTGACCATTTCGTTATTTGCTCCGGCAACCAGACCCTTGGTGTGTGGTTAAGAAGGTGCTTACTGTGTTTGTGCAGTTAGTAAAAAGTAATAAATATTTCTTGAGCGTTGTGTCTTTAATTCTGCAGTCATATCCTTGAGTTCCGTTTGGGAGTCCATCTCTTCAGTTAGTAGCAAATCAGAGTACTCTCCGCTAGCTCTAGTCTTAGATCTAGTGAGACTCAAATTGACCCTTTGAACCGGTTCAAAGCATTTAATAAATAAATGGCTGTAAAACAACCTTTTAATTAAGGTGAATGTTCCCCGGATTATGAGTTAATGTTTTATAATTAATATTCAATTTCATTATCATAACAATAAACATATTTGTGCTATTATGATTTTATTTATTTTACTGCAAATTTGATTTATTTTATTTTTAATTTAATTTAAAAAACATGATTTGTTTTAAATGACCTCGTTAAACAAAAGAATTTCCTGACGAGATCTATAGATCTTGATAGCCATAGAGATTACATAAAATTGTCCAAAATTTTGCTCTGCATCTACATAGCGGAATCTGTTTTATGACATATGTTACTGTCTAGTTATAATTCGTTCATTCTCCTACATTAAGGCAATTAACTTCTAGATATTAACTTAGTAGAACGGAAATTCTATATTTTTCCAAAGAAGAGTTGTCGATTATTCACCCTGACGAAGAACACCAGAGCAATTTTCTCCTAGTACAAATGAGATAGGATAAAGAGACGCAGGTTTCTGATTCCTAACGTTAAGTGCGTTTTGTTCAAGACAGATTGACTAAGAAGAAATCATGTTTCATTTGTAAAACAAAAATAATCTAAAATGAAAATATCACCACGAATATAGCTTTTTCATAATATAAATCAGATATGCGTTATATAGTATGCCAGTGCTCAATACGCTCTAAAAAAAGCAGCGCGGTTTATAAACTTATTACACATGACATAAAATTACTTTACGAACTGAGAACTCTGTATAAATATTCCCAAAATTATATGCTCTTAAATATAACAGAAGAAATTTAAGTGGACACGCGTCAGACGATAGATCCCCATTTGAAATACATTTCATACCTTATTTTATCATTTTTTTCCAGCAAACTGGAAATTTTGTGGGAGTTCTGTAGATAAAAATATTGAAGATATAAGTGATCGTTGATAATGACATTCATTTTAGAGCCTCAATGGCAGAAATTTGAAATTTCAGGAATTTCAATACCACAAATAAAACGTTCAAATAATGTTACGTAAATTTGACACATTGTCGAATAAACAGATGTAACTTTTATGATAATAAAAGAATGCATTTTCATAACAATTGTAAATATTTTTAGTTATTTATTAAATACTTCTTAAATGGGTTTATTTTTGTTGTCGTCTCTTATCTTGTTGATTTTGAGGTAGATATGGTCCTCGATTTCATCATGGCCAAAAGCAAAAGAGCAGGTGTCGCTGGACAAGGCTTGGGCATTTCAGAAAGAAGACTTTAGACACCTTATTAAGTTATGGCACGACTCTGCTCAGCTCGATCTTTGAGATTTGATGGAAAACATCCTTGTGGACAAAATCCCAGGATTTTCTTCTCTCTTTGTTTGCCATTATCCGCTTGACTAAACTTTCAAATCGGTGGTATTTTAAATACTGCCAAGCCCCAAAGACACTATACATTTGCAAACAACCATGTCTTATTGGGTATGGTTGTTTGTAAATGTATGATGTCTTTGTAGTACAATGCCAAGTAGTGGTGTGGTGTAATGTAGTGTTTTTTTAAATGTGTAGTGTCAAAAGTGCGTACAGATCAGGCCGACGGCTTTACTTCTATAAAGCAGATTTTAAAGTAAATTACAGAATTTATTTTAGTGGCTCCCTGTTCCAGAATGCATACTTTCCAGAAACAACTTTTAAATATCTTACTTGTAATTTTGCTTCAGCAGCTCAATATTTTCAGGTTCCATTACTTGATTGAGATCTTCAAATGTAGTTATATTAATTTTATTGTTTGAGCAATATGCAAGCAATTTAATATATGGCTGCACTCCATGATCTCTTCCTCTGTAAATGTTGATTGCTTGGATGTCACGACCAAACGCATTTATAGGACGCCTAAAATAATAACAATAACGATTAGATTAATTATTTCTTATTAAAACTAGCAAGAAACAGTACGGCAGACTTGTAAGAATGCTTTGACTTATAAAAGAAATTTTAGCTTGGAGTAGATTTTTAACAAAACTTTATCTAAAAGGAAATAAAAAAAAAGTGTCCATCTTCTTCAGGAGGAGAATTCGCAGAAAATTGGAGAAGCATAATCATTTCATATCGAGAGATCGAAACTATATTAATATACCGAACTTATATTTTCATCGCACTTTTTGCAAAATTCCTTTTTCTCCTAAAGAAGAGGAATTTATATGTTATCAAATGGCTTTTGATATGCGTATGGCTAAAATCTAAATAAATACTGTTAGGAAAGATTCAAATAAGATTTCTTGTGTGCAATATTAATCCTTCGCATTTTAGTAGCATAGTTTTAAAACAATTTAGATTTAGGGATACTATTGATGTTAATTACAGCAAACATTATAATTTGATACAAACTTGTACAGATACTTAATAACATCCTCCACATGATGCCGACCATATTTATGAGCTGGTAATTTAGACGCTCCTTTTAAGAAACTTCCAAAATCATTTTCGTGGATGGGTTTCTGAACTGCGTAAGTGTCCCTCATCTTGAGGATACTTGATGATGTCTCGTTTTCATACACGACAGTATTAAGTGTACTGTGCAAACGGTAAGAAGCTGTGTTGAACTCCGAAAGCGTTTCCGGTTGGACAGTGGGATCATACTGTGAGATACTGAGCCACAGGTCGAATTCAGACATTCGAGTCGGTCCTAAGAGCAAAGGAAGGAATTCCTTGTACGCAATGCATTGCATAATTGCACCTACAAGCTTCCTGCAAAAAAAAAATGTAAAATTATGAAATCGAACACGATTATTAGCAGTATTAAATGCGTTTAAAATTGTAATTATACTAAATGATATTTGGTATCAAGTTGAACTGATTTTTAATAAGTATCCTTGTTGCATAATTCGAAAAAAAATTCTACCATGTAGTCTTATTCACCTGCGATAGCAGTCTGATAATGAGAAAAAAATGCCTTTAGTCATAATTTATGCTGGTGCTAATAGTATGAGTTTGGCTTTCCGATTAAGTGGTTAGATAGAAAACCGTGATAAAAAGTCTAGAAATTTTATTTTTATTATTTTTATTTTATTTGACGTATTTGTTTTGCTTATTTTTTATTTGACATTTATTTTTCATTTTTCATTGACGTTAGTTTCGTATTTTTCTCAGAGGAGTAAATTTAAATTTGGAAAATGTGTTTGAATTATTGTGATTAGAGAAAAGCATTCTAGGGCAGTCTACTAGAATGAAAGTAAAAAATATCATTGTGAGGTTCCTCAAAGACAAATTTTGACGTTATATGGCTAAGATTAATTACACACATGTTTCAAATATTATTTTAATTTAAATTCCTTACATATATATACACTCATTGTTTTCATCATGTACAGTCCATTAGCGGCCAAGCTGTGAAGTCGCTAAACACTGGCGACCTGTGTCTGCTGTAGTCTTAGTGCATTTTCCGTAATCAATTAACCGACTGTTTGAGATGTTTGCATTATGAGAGCAGAATGTTATATTGAAACAGAAAGAGTATTCTTCAACAAAAATCTCAGCTAATGTTGCCGTAATGCCAAATAAGATTTCGGATAATTGATAATACGTAAGTATGGAGATTGTTTACGATACTGATATTACTGCAGGTTATAAGATTACAGTATGTGTACAACAGAATTTCTATAAATTATTATAGAAGATTTTTAAACTTGTATAAACGTTTAACTTAATACTTTTAAGCTCGAAATTCCGTTTTAACAAAAAGATTTTTCAAAATCTTCTCATGACTTATAGTTACTTCAAGCATAGCAAAAATTCGCTTCACGTCTGTGTGGGTTATTAGACTAATTATTCTGTTCCAGATCAAGTAAAATCATAGAAGTTCAATGTACTCCCCCCGCCACCTTTGGAATAAAACTTATCTGAACCATACACATTTTATATTTTATTCTATGTTTTAAAATACACTGCTCGACATTGAAAATGCAACACCAAGAAGGAGTCGTCAGAAATTTATGCAAATTTTAGAGTAGACGCACGTCACTGAGTTATGTGAATGATGTACAATGCGCAGCTCTCCGACGCACGTGAAGTAAGATACGAGAGAAACGTGCAGAGTGGGCAATATTCGTGTCGTTATTTCTGCCAGTCGAATTATCGAAGAAAGTTAGTTTTCATCTCGGAGGATACGTGTAACAAGAGAGAATGCCATGCCACCGTCAACGAAGGCACTTCCAGCAGATAAACGATTTTATGAGGGGTATGGTGATCGGACTGAGAAGGGCGGGTTGGTCCTTACGTCAAATCGCAGCTGATACCCACATGGATGCGAGCACGGTGCATCGGCTATGGCGAACATGGTTGGAACAAGGAAATGTGGGAAGAAGGAGGGGTGAAGGTGCAGCCAGAGTGACGTAAGAAAGCGTGGATCGACGCATGACATAGCAATCTGACTATCAACAATAAGCTTATTTTATACAAGTCCATCCTTAGACCTACTTTACTTTGCGTCAGTCCGGTATGGGGACACGCCGCTAAAATTCACATAAAAGAGACCCAAGTTATTCAAAATAAAACTCTTCGTGAAATTATTAATGCACCCTGGTTCATCCCAAATTCATATATTTACAGAGATCTTCAAACTGATGCTATACAAAATTATATAAAAAAACTTGCAACAAATTATTTCCTTTCTGTACTATTACATCCGAACAGCTGTATCAGCTCTTTGCGATGCTCACCTTTTCCTAGAGCAAAAGACAAATATCCTTCGGATATTCTAACCTAACATTTTGTTAATTATTGGAAGTACCTACTAGTACCTTACTGATCCAACATTTTTTCACATTGCTGGTCTATTTTTTCACATTGCTGGTCTATTTACATTCATTTCATTATTCTTCGCCGACTGATGGCGGCTAAGTGAAATATCTCATTCTACCATCTTGATTCTTCATATTTTCCTTTTGTTGTTCCAGACATTCTTTTATAGGATACAGAGTAAAAGCGCGCTGTCACTCTCTTTCCATTCGACACAAGCAAGGATCGACGCATCCGCCAACAAGCTATGCGGTCTCGCAAGTCACTTCTACCGCGATTCTGCAGCATGTGCAAGATACCCTGGATGTTCCTGTGTCGACCAGAACCATTTCCCGTCGATTGGTTGAACGTGGCCTGCACTCACGGCGTGGCGTCCGTTAAGAAGACTGCCATTGACCCCACAGCATATACGCCAACGTTTAGAATGGTGCTGGACTGGAGAGATGTGGATGACAGAATGGAAAAACGTCGTGTTCTCAGATGAGTCACGCTTCTGTTTATCCAGTGACAGTCGCTGCATACATGTGCGGCGTCGACGTGGAGACAGATCTCATTGGGCAGTAACTGTGGCACGCCCCACCACGCGACAACGTGGCATAATGGTTTGGGAGCTATTGCCTACGATTCCAGGTCACCTCTAGTTCGTATTCAGGGCAATATGACAGCCCAAAGAAACTTGGATTGGACGCCGTTTGCAGAGTCTGCTCTTGCCTCGTTCAGAAGACGAACTGTGGCAAATGGTTGAAAGGAAATGGAGAGCCATCCCTCAGGACACCATCCGCACTCTTATTGACGCTATGCCTAGATGTGTTTCTTCGTTCATCGCTATCCGCGGTGGTCCTACATCCTACTGAGCCGACGTCGTTCTTGCTCTGTATTCTGACTATCATTTTGAAATAAAGATCATTTATTGCTGCTTGCTGTCTCTGTCTTTTTTTCCAAATTTCATCACTTTCTGACCACTCCGTCTTGGTGTTGCATTTTCAATGTCGAGCAGTGTATTTAATACGAGGAATGCCAAACGTTTTTCCTCAATGACCACTTTATTACTGTCATAAAATTACTGGGACATCCCTTGGTGAAATTTAGGTAATAAACTCCTTTTAAAGCTATTTGAGAAAAAGCTTAAAAAATAACAATTGCACGTGTGTAAAATAAATTATATTTTAAAAGTATTCACAAAGTAAAATCTTTGTACTGAAATAAAAGTTATACTTAATGCGGAAGATGTTTTTTAACTAAATTGGATTCCTAATTTCTAAGCTTTAATCTCAAGTTCTCGTTCTGTTTGTAAATTGAGTATGTTTAATTGTATTAAGTGCTTTAGTGACTGCTTTCACTCATATGAACAGAAGAATGCCGAATTAAAAAAACAGCTATGTTACGCAAATTTTAGGATACCTAATTATTCTGTTTCTTCATCTGTAACTCTAAATTTTCGCCGACATGCCATCCGACCTACGGCCTGTAGACGAACATTTGAAGTCAGCTCGACGGTATTTATTAAACGTCTTCGTAAAAGAAAGGTTACACGGGCACGGAAGGTCATAGACCTTATTTTATAACATATTGCACTTTAAGGCTTCGAGGGATAATGATAAAATCCACTTGATTTGCACACTGATATTTAATACATAGTTTTGACATATGTGTATATACATATATCATTTTACATTTCAAGGAACTGATAATTATCTGGTAGTGTTTCAAGTTTTTTAAACCACAGCTAATTTTATATGGCAGTCACGACGTAATTGTACTGCAATAACACATATCACAATCGTATTTTGCTAACATCATATGTAAATATCTTTGTAATACACTCCTCTATCTCTAGACTGGAAGAGACTTTCGAAGAATAAACTTTCGAAGAATAAAGGTCCCATGTTCAACAAACTTGACACCTTTCAATTTCTTTGCTTGGCATGTAATGAAAGTCAAAGATGCGAAAGGGGAATATTAAAAGCACCTATTCAAGAAATAATTTTTCAGATCAACATAAGAGAAGTGGGGAATTTGGATAAAACTAGAAGAAGAACGCAGCGAAATTTAGTACAACTGTTTCATTTCCAACCTGTTATTTCTATCAGTATTCGTTTTCCATAAAATGACTCGAGACATTCACGTGTATAATTTGACTGAAATATGCAAAATAAAACACTCGTAAATAAAATTATAAAAAAGTTCGCTTTAGAGAAAAACTCTTAATATAGGCAAAATATTTATCTAAAATATTTCGCAAGTATCAAACCTTGTTTCTTGGTATATTGTTTCTTCATCCCAATGAGGATTAAGAACTTTCATTTCAGTAGCTATTCTATTATGTTCTCTCACGAAAAGGTTCTGTAAGGATGCCAACATTAAGTGCTGATTTCCTCTAGAATCACCTACGGAATTGAAGTAGATTAAATAAAAAAAAATAACTGTACTTTTAAGCAAAATAACAGTGAAAACATTAAGTAATTTGGAACTGTCAACTCAAAAAGCTACTATATAAAATGCATTTAGAAAACAAGAACCTTCATTGAAACATCAACGAAGGCCTTTTGGGTTTATTTTATTAAAAAATAATGCAGTTAACATTGATACTTCCACCCTTGTGTAAATACTCACCAGTGACCGAGTAATAAGAAAGCTGAATGGTAGCTTGCAAATTAAATTTAAAAGGCTAAGGGGCAACAAAGAAATTTAAATTTGAAAAAGGCTGCAGAAGTTCTGAAAATTCCTCTTTGAAAACATATGCTTCATACTGTTACTTCTCTGTGCGAAAACAAAATGCGTTTCATGTACTTGTTGACATGTTGATTGTGAATTAAATAAAATATAGTATGGGTAAGGTAAAGAGGAGAACGGATCAGGGTTTATTAGAATACTGCAAAGGCTTTCTGTCTGCTAGGAGAGATAGCTTCGTAGAGAACTTTCTAAAGAGAAACTAGTATGCATTCACATGCATAAAGTCGCGTAACTTCTCATGCAATTATTCCGTTCGCCCGAATTTCTACCAGAGTCGATCTACTAGTGCTCAGCCATCTTATCTGTTCGATCGCTGATGGACATACTACACAGAAGAAATTATCAGAATATATTGCAAATAATGTAAGGCGCAAACAGTTTGGTGATTTATTTCAAAATGTAAATCGCAAATTTGGCGAAATAAAGAAGTGATTTCGATGAAATTGTTTTTATCAATTAATAATCTAGATTAATGAGCAACAGGCGAAAAATGCAATGTTGGAGCAGTAAACGATTCTTCTGTTCTAAACGTGCTAAGCAAAAAAAAAAAAAAAAAAAAAAAAAAAAAAGACACGTTTCAGATTTTAAATTATGTCCAAAGGGATTTTTTTTAAACATTTTGTGTGTTACATACATTTATTTATTAAATATCACATTCTTCGCACTTAAACCAAAAAATTCAGTTCAACACCAAAATCGCAAAATAGTTTTGAAACGAGCATATCTTCAGAATTTCCGATACAGAGACTGACGCGCTGGAGATAAAAATGTTTTTTCTGTTCAACGTTGCCATTGCTCGCTTTGAAATCCTTGAGTTTGTAAATCAAAAACTGGTTAAAGTTTTGCAAAGTAGGAAATCGATAATAATACAAATTCCAAATTTCAAATTTGGTCTTCCACATGGCCATATTCGTAGGAGGATTACGTCATTCAAAATTCGATGACTGTATGTACCGTTGTTTTATGCGGGAAATATACATACATTTATGCAGATTTTTCATTGTTTAATTTCTTTAAATATAACACTGGGAGATAATACTTTGTGGCAATAGTTTGAAAAGTGATTCGTCGTTTGTTGTGAATCGACGAAAAATCGCAAAACGAAAAGAATAGTCCTTTAGGGACAAAGCCCCTTTGGACTAAAAAAAGGGCGAACTGGAACATCAACATAAATTGATGGCTTAACACTTGTGTATGTAAATAGCAATGCAGCGACGGGGAAGGACATTTTTGAGATTTCAAAATGTTGCCAAATATTGCAAAAAATCCACTTTGGCGACCAAACACTTCATGTATAATAAATGTTTTTTTTATATTTATAGACATCTAAACGGCTAATTTTAACTGATATTGTTCATTATGAATGTACAGAAACAGAGGATATTTTTTACAAGCCAATCTGGAACTCAAGGTTGCCAGAAGATCGTTGTTAGAGACTTTGTCTTAAAAGCATTCCTTACATGAAGCAGACAGCCATAATGGGATTTACCTTAATCCTCATAGTCTATCATTGAAAATGAGATTCAGCACAATCTTTTATTCCGAGACCACCAATTAGATTGCTTCTACATAAGCTTAAACGGAAAGCACATTAGTCTAAATTATGCAAGGTGATAACTTATGTGAATAATTTGCAAATCATAATCCTAATAATACCATTGAAAGAATATCGGAAGCGAAACTGATCCATAAAGAGACTGAACTCATTTAAAACTTCACCCCTTTTTATTCAAGCTGTAAAAATATTTTAAATTAGTTTGTAATTTCTATCTTATAATTTCTAGGCTTCACTCTTGAAGAAGATACACATTTTAGTTGTAGCGTATTTTGGTCTTTTTGCATTTGCGCAGTTTGATTCAGAGAGTTACGGTTTCTTGAAAGCTGCTTTATCAATGTCTATGTTTTTTTATAAATGCATGTGCACTGACTTGCTCGAAAACACTAGTGCATAGTAATTATTGACTCCAAAAGCATTGACTTCATAAATATACATGAATAAATACTATACTTCATGCAAAGCAAACGGTTCATAATCTTGATGTATTTGAAGGGTATAGTATTTCTCTGTTGCACAGCAAAGTGCTCACAGATTCTGTCTTGCATAGGTGGATTCGATAGCATTGAAATGTGGCAACTTAGGTGGCCACGCGGCAAAATAAAATACTTTTCTTAATATTTTTGAGCATTTTAAACGATTCTATTTTTATATTTTTCACACCTACAATAATACAAGAAACTTTACTTATCTGCATGCTGAGAATAAGCCTGGAATGCTTTTTTCTAACTCGAATGTGTTTAGATGCCCAACATCACATATTTAAAAACGGAGTACTTTATTTCTGAACGCAGCAAATTGAAAATCTCTTCAGATTGAGCAGAAAATTTCATTCTATATCTCATTTCCGCCTCCCCCCAAAAGGAAATGCACTAAAAAAAACCTATGTTAAAAACTCAAGTTTAGAACGAGAAACTTTTGAACCCTTGGTAACTTTTGGTACTTCACACACAAATTCTCAGACCCAGTGCCCGCAGCTCATATTTTCTCTAACCATGGTTACCGCTGCCTCGGCCAAGGAGTGTTCTCGCCAGATCGTGAAAGGACAATAACAAGTTGCCAACTATAAATATTTTCCTCATTTTTTTTCCTTAGAGGAAAGGTTGAGCCTTAAGTCCAAATTTTAAAAGCAGGGACATTTTATTATTATCTGCTTTCAGATTCTGACGAGACTGTTATTTAAGCTTTTGTCGCTTATTTTGTTTGAAAGCAAGAGAGCTCTTTAATTACTTCCTTGTACGAAGTAAAAAGGAAGTATTGTAATCGCGAAAAATTTCGGGTATCATATTTCAACGAAAATATCCATTTTGACTGCTTTCGAATGCAATGTAACGATATTTTTACGTGATATCTGTACATAAGGACAGAATGAAATATTTTTTTCCTTCAAAACGCGTTGCATAAAGGATTAAAAATTGATTCAGAGCAGATTTTGTTTCGTGACGTATGTACGTACATATGTATGTATGAACGTAACTCACATAACTCAAAAACGAGTAGCTTCAGAACGTTGAAATTTTTTATATAGGACTGCTATAACATGTAGATGTGCACCTCCGTATTTTGGTTGCAATCGGCCGGCCGCACCAACGTATATAATATATCTTATATATATATCACTCTGTTACCCCCGGCTCAGTGATCTCAGTTTCTTTACTCTTATATGTTTGTAATTGTACATTTTTTGCTTTAAAATGATTGAATTATGTTGGTTTTCATCTTCCCGGTTAAGGGTTTATACCTTTCGTAATTCTGGAAGCAATATTTGTACAATTATCAACAATTTAAAAGCTGTTTAAGTGCGGTCAACTTTTAAATAACATGGGAGGACATATTTGTTTACATTTGAAAACTGCAGAATTGTAGATTTGTTGCCAATCTAGAGAGACTAAGCTTCGCAACACAAAAATAACGCCTTCATTTATTATTGCGAATTAAATCATGCTTAATCCTTTCTGGAATTTTTTTCGAGGAAATAAGTGTTTAAGATTTACTTCGTAATTTTTAATGCAGATATTTGAGTTTTTATGTATTTTTGCCTTGTCGCGAAGTGAGAACTGAATTAATTGAATGCGAAATACTAAATCGTCTGAGAAAAACTGTTTCTTTTCTGTTTTGTTTTCTTAATTTCTTTCATACATCGTTTTAGCTTTATTATAGTATTTGAATAGAACATGTGGCAACGATAATTCTTCAAATGATATAAATTTTGTGCATTCAGAGTGTCGTTATAGTAAACAAATATAGTGAATTTTAAAGAGTGCATTTATTCTATTATGGTTTATGCGCTGCCGACGAAGTAGATTTAATTCAAACCAATCAATTTAAATGAAATTGAAGAAAAAAATGAGTATAATTTAACATTCCGTACAAGGAAGTCATGTGGTGTACACATCAGATTTTTTTACTTTGTCTTTCAAAAATAACAGTGATTCAGTTTTGTAAATTTTTTTCTGTAACTTAGTAATTATTATTGTGAAATAAATGTTTTATTTCATTGACAAATTTTAATAATTTTTCTTAGATAGTTAATAAATCGTAGGGAATTATTGGTTATCAGGAATCGAATTTGTCTTTCAAGGGAATACAAATTTATGCCAATATAAAAGTGTACGAATTAGTAAGTTTTTAATCTAGTAGCAAAATAGGGATCAGCAAACTAAGCCTTATGAAAGGTCGACATACGAAAAACCGTTTCCTACGAGTGCTAAAATAGCAGGTTCCATAACACTAGTGGTCAGCAGTTTTACCCACTTTTGCACTAGTGCGTCAGGTACAGTAGGAATATTGGGCATTTAATTTGGAGCAGGAAATGCAAGAAATCAGTTATGCCTTTGTCGAGATTCGTAGCCAGTTGCACTAAAAGAACACAAAGTGGAGAAGGATAAAGATTCCTTATAACATGATTTATTATAAAGTTACAAACATACTGCATAAATGTTTTATGATAGAATTCATATTAAATGTTTTAGAAATTTAACGAAAATTATAAGACCTTCGAAGACTTACCTGATTGGAAACAGTAATGTTTGTACCCTGACACACAATTTAAATCTCTTGATGTCGGACTGATTTGGGGCATTAAATTTCCACGCTGTGTGCGTAACTTTCCTTAGAAAGATGAAATGAAGCATTAAAAATAAATAGAAACATTTAAAATTAGCATAGCAACAGCATTGAAAAATAAATTATTTAAGAACTGAAGTTTAAAAAAATAAAAATAAACTTGCTTAACCGTTCTAGATTTATGTAAGTAATTAGAATTATGTAGTCTAAAATTATAAAAATTGGAAGAAAAATATAACATGAGTATAGGAAATCTATTTAGAATAAACAATGATTGGTAATGTTACGTAACGCTATCCCAAAATAACAGAAATTGTAAAATGAAAGCCAGCATTCATGATTTTGGTGATTGTGGCGCCACGATTGTTTGTTTAGGATTTCTGTCGCCGTCGCCTGTTTGCCATGTGACATCTGTCTGAGTATAGTAGTTTGTTCTTCATACTGAACTGTGTCAATGTCTGCTCACAGTTTCCTTCGATTTTCAAGATATGCTTTCACAAAAAACAAAAGAATACTACGCGTAAAATTTAGTTTGTAGTCGCAAAAAAAGGTAGGCCTAAAATTTAGTTTTTAGTTGAAGAAAACCACAAAGACCAAAGGGTATGCGGGAAAATCATTTTTTAGTAAGGAAAAGCTACAAAGAACAAAAGGAATAGGGAAATTTAGTCTTTAGTTGAGAAAACCCACAGAAAACAAAGAATGAGCCTCAAATTCATTTTTTATTTGAGGAAAAGCGCATACACAAGAAAAAAAACAACTAAACGTATGAGTAAAATTTAATTTTCAGTTGAATAAAAGAACAAAGAAACAAGAGCATGCATGCAATTTAGCTTTTAAATTGAGGAAAAGGAGAAAAACGAAAATGCATAACATTTATTTAGTTGAGGAAATTGCAGCTGAGACCTTTCATATGAGCTTCAAACCTCTAAACATGATGGTTTTTAATATGCGAGTACGTGGTTTTCCCTTATTTAAAAATTTTGACATGCCAAACGAAGAGGGCTTTGACTGATATCCGAGCTGTTAATAAGCAGTAATAAAGAAAAGTGTGAGTTATACTACAGCCTGCTAATGGTTATCGTCAAAAGGAAATTCCCCAAATATGAATAAATTTCCCTGTCCGATCATTCTAGACGAACATGATGACTGTCTATCGTCTTTCATCCTCATACGAGATCGCTTTTTCTCAGTAAGTGCTTCTTCTATTTCTGTGAGTAAAGAAAGTTACCAAAAGTAATTCAGTGGACAGAAATAGGAATTCAGAGACGCTTTCGTGTTATTTTGGGTCATGAGTTTTAGAATCATTTCCGTGTTTCTAATGACGGACAAACATTTGTATAAGTGTATCAATATCGATGGGAAAACACTTTAAAGGAGACTCAAAGTATAATACAATTGCTTTTAAGTAATTCTAGTTATATTTTGTACACCTCGTATATAAACCGCACACATGAAAGAAATGCCATACTTTATTTTCTCATACATCATGAATGATATTTAGGCAATTTTGTTTCAGCACATCTAACAGTTTTGTTGTTATTACGGCTCTTAAGGGACCTTGAAGGACAACTAAGATCAACGAATAGTACCTCTGAACTAAAAGGAAATTCAATGTTTTTCGAAGCTACGATGTAGATTTATGTTTCAGTGCATGCGCCGATTTGTCATCGAGCCTTCACTTTAATTTTAGTTTATCAATGCGATAATATTTTGTTTGAACTTTCTGTTTAGCCTATTTATATAAACTTAAGTCGAAGAAAAAAATTTTAAGCTTTTAAAGTTTAAGAGCTCCGTATAACACAATGTACGCACTTGGTGTTTCAAAGCGAATGGATTTTTAACTATTTAAGAAAGTGTTTATCTTAAACTCATAGTTTCAATTTAAAAAATCCAGTAAGATAAGCTTACAGGCGCTGCGATCAATTTTGGCCATGTGACAAATTCAAATAAAAGTACTTAAATTTTTTATACGGATCGCATATAAAGAAAGCTTTATTTGTAAGTCGTTCTCCATTAACCTTTTTCTTTAAATTTATAACATGCAGATTTGTACGTAAGAAGTTATCAATATTATGCGACTTAAGTAACTTTGAAAATGGAAGGTGAAAAAAAATGAAGTTGATAGCAGATGTCTATATAAAAAGTAATTTCTTTAAGTATAAAATATCGAATTTTGACATTTTATGAAGGAAAAAAAATCCATGCTTCTGTATTAGTGTCCCCCTGACGTTATTAACATTTTCAGAAATTTGCATTGATTGTTGCATTTGTCTTTTTTTAAATAAAATCCTGAAAAAGTTTCGGGGTACATTTGATCGCAGGAGGAATTATTTTGTTTTATTTCGCCTATGCGCTTAGGGAAATACTTTAAGTTTTCTGTTGGAACTGTATAAAAAGTGAAAGCTCCTCATATTTTTATTCAACGGGTGTCTAATAACCAAAATAATCAAGCCCTGAAATCCCTTTCTTAAACAGAGACTTGATTAGATACCTTCCTTAAACTTGGAACATGGCTTTATGATGTTGCAAAATTTACCGAAATATTTTACATCTATTTTATAACAAAAACTTTCATTACATACATGAAATAATATCATTCACATTTATATTTTCATTGACGTTTTATTTTTCCTTCAAAATGAAATTTACATAAATTAAAACATTTGAGTAGAATATAACAGGAAAAAAAGGATTTTAAAAATAGTGAATTAAAAGATTAACATTTTTAAAAATTTGAAAGAATAAATTTATTTTCAAGAAAAAAATTTACTTTTCCTGAAGATAAACTTAACGTACCTGTTCCATCAAGCTCTCTCAATTTGTTTGATTCCCATTCATTTATTCCGTACAGAAAAGAACAGTCAATAAAAGACGTTACTTGGTTTATAAGCTTCCTCTTTTCTGAAAAAGAGTATATATCTGTTAATGACAGAGCCTAAATAAACGTTAAGGCCACATCGCTTCTCCGACAGTACTTATATGAATACACAGACGTGCTTGCGAAAACGAATCAACAATAACCTTGTCTACTATTCTGTCCTAAAGTAAAATATATCCTGTAGCTGGTAGCCGGTTTAGAATACTTCAGTGAAAGCTGGACAAATACTTTCTGTGCTCATATTTCAGTCGAAAGTTAAAGTGTTAAAATCTCCGAAATCATATCTTAATTTATGAGATTATTTTTAAAAACAGCAGAATAGAAATCAGGTACAGTACAAAAACTGGAATAAAATACGTTTTAAAGAGGATAATTATTCTGAATTCTATGATTCTTGAAATTTATTGCAAAGTATTTTATGTTAATTAACCTATTTTCTTATTTCCAAGTTTACCGTCATTTTTCCTTTTCCTTAGCTCTCACCACAATGCAAATGAGTTAAGAGTAATTTATGTTAGAGTTTTTGAAAGTTTTAGGGAAAACAGTTTTCAGCAGTACCAAGTAGTAAGCTTCCTTCCAGCAGTAAGCTTGCTATAGTACCCCTATCTCATCCAGGTCTACTGAAGAATTTATCCGCCATTAGCCATTTTCTTAGCCGAAGAAATCGTGGAGTTCATAAATTGAACCAATGCTTTGTTAGGCGGTTTGAATTGACTACAGCATCGAGTTACTTTCTGTTACTGATGTCCCACAAGGAGCAGAGTTTTGAGTTGAAAGTCAGTAGTTCATTCAGTATAAAGTTTGTTTGAACTTTCTCAAGCATGAGTTTTTATTTCACTCATGGGGCGATAACTCGCTTGTGTGCATAGGATTGAAGAACTTTTAACTAATTTAAAACAATAACTCTACATTTAAAATCCAAGTTCTTGAAAGTTCCAGGTGACTGAGTAACATTTAGGTTGCTTTCTTAGATTCATTGGTGGCAAACTGGTAAGTACAGTGGAAGGGTTTGGTTATATTTTGGATGCCACGCGAACGTCCATGAAGACAGCCGACAACTTTGATGGAAGGAATTCAACTTTGGCTTTTATAGAAGAACTAGAAAGTCACTTTCTACTGTATCCAGCTGAAAAACAACAGAAAGTCCCCTCACCAAGCGTTTAGCTCATTTGAAAAAAATTGTCAAGAGTAAAAGAAAGTGAAAATTATAAGCTGACGTGCTAAAGGCCGCCTTTTTAAGAACTTTCCTCAAGTTAGAGACCGGGCTCGGATATAATCAGAATTACATACGAAATATAAAATACTCGGTGAAGAACTAATAGCTTTTAGGTAAGTTTCAAATCGTTAAGTTTTGATATCATACGAAACCGGTGAGTCATAAAGTTAATATTGCCAAGATTGCTGCCGCACGTTTAAGAATTTTTGGAATTAAGAATTTCCAGTTAGTTAGAACATCTGTTTGAATTGGTTGTGAAATCTGAAAGTCTTCGTGTGTCAGAAAATTTGCATAGAATTTGATGTTTCAGCAGAAGTTTCAGAAAACCCGGCGCCGAAAGAGGAGACTCAAAACAATTTGCAGGCCGACAGAATTTTTCCGTTAGATAGACAAAATGGCGATCTCCAAAATAACAATAAAAACTTTAGATAAGCATGTAAGGATAAAGAGTAGATTAATATGCCGCCCAACGGGGATAGCGGTTAGCGACGCTGACTGCCGTACGGAAGAGCCTGCGTTCGAATCCCGAATTTTTGTAAATGTCTAGTGGCATGGGGATACTCTAAATATACGGCGAGCCGAAAGTCTTCTCGGGAAGCTGGTAGTAGGAAAAGAGGGGACTAGGACCCCTCCGGCCCTCCCCCGGGGTGCTAGCTATCAAAATTGCCGGTGGAACTGATTAAAAGTTGTACTGTAACCTGTATGGTGCTCAAGGCAACCGCAGGAGCAGTCTAGCACTCCTTGCCACGATGAATTTTGTGGGCATGTTCGGAAGTTGCTGTCAAACAAGTGTAATAAGTTACAACGCAACAAAGAACACAGTACAGCAATATAAACTAAAAAGAGGGCCGTGGATTAAAGAGGTAAGTCACCGCAGAATAAAGGAAAAGTCTTAATCGAATACTATTTTATTGAAAAATGTAGAACTGCCACATATTTAAGTTGTGTTAAATGGCACCTCTTTTGCGTTCTTGTTGGATACTTCGGCTCAGAGTATCTTTTATACAGGAATTTGTTTCAGAAAAATTTTCGAAGATGTATGTTGTTTGAAATCACAGGGACGAAGGTGTAACGCAGCAGGAAAAATATTGTTTATTAAAATGACATATACGAGTAATATTGAATGTGCAAGTTGGGCATGAAGAGCAAAATGTGTTATTTTTTTGGGAAGACATTTTCAAGCAAATTCGATTCTGAGATTAAACGTTTTGAAGGCAACTGGAGAGCAAACTGATTTTCAGTAACCGGAAAAGGTGAAACTGGAAAAGAACTATTTAAAGGAGAAGGAAGTAGAGATGCCAGCTTTGGACAAAAAGTATTGTCCTCGAAAGAAAAGAAAAAGGTGAGAGAATTGTTATGAAATTTTTCAGCATTATTTGATGATACCTTAGGATTAACTTAAGTGGTTAAAGACGAGATAAATATAGGAGATAATTCCCCTGTGCACCTCAAAATCCTACCGGTCTGAGAAGGTTAAAGGGATAAATTATAGAGAAGAAGACTGAGGAATTGTTGAAAAACAAAATAATAACTCCCACCAGTAGACAAGACTTCTGTGTATAAAAAATAATAGTTTACCTCTCACCGATATTAAATCATAGCATGTGATTTTTGAGAATGCCATTCGGCTTATGAGGTATGCTCGTTTGTAAATAAAGCGGGTGAAGAATGCAGCAAAATAACTATTCACTGCCAAAGAACTTCAGTACCTCTGACAGCATCCTTTTATTTGAATAGTGATACGGCCAAAAAAGGGAGGACAGTATATTTGGTAGGACTAAACAGTATATTTTGTGCTAATAAAAATATTACTTATTTTTAAGAATTTTTATTAAAGTAAATATTGAATACTTAAATTAAAATATAATAAAGTGATTAAATTAAAGTTGCATATAATGGAAAGCAGATTTAAGAATGCGTATTTTCTAAAGATGTATCTATAGGTATTATCAGATGAAATAAACGAAATTCAGCAAACGATGTACATAGTTAAAACTCTTGAGTATTCAGGTTCATTTTCCTAATATTATTGAGTAACAGTTAACATACTTAAACACAAACATAGAAAACTAAATCAGGTCTCGGAAAAGTATAATCCGCGGGTCACCGACTGACCCAGTTTATAATTTCAAGTGATCCACTTGAAATAACGATAATAAAGTACAATATATAAAAATAGCTTATAAAATGTAAATACAAAATGAGCACTTGAAGATTACATAAAAAATAAACCGAAAATAAATAATGAAAATAATGTTTTTGTTTAGTTACAAATTGCATTTTTAAAATTCTAACATAATTTCAAGGAGAAATCGATAAATTTGGCAACGTCGATCCTTAATCAAGAATTCCAAAAAACTGGTTTTGCCATTTTATTCGTATTCGGTTCAACTTACAAATTCGAGGAAATATTTTCACTCACGAAATAATTTAAGTAAGAGCAAGAGTAGCTTAACTACCCAAAATTAAGATGCTTGTACATGTCTTAAACAAACAAATTATAAGCCGGACTTGAGTAATTTGTTAATTGACTAAATTGAATAAAGTTCAGTATCAGAGAAGCCATTGATATCGAAGAGAAAGATAAAGTTGATCCAATTATGTTTGTTTTTATAATAATTATAATGGTAATTTTAATTTTTACGCTTAAATTTTAAAATGTATTGTAATTATTTTCTCAGTAAAATTTATCTTATTATTCATCAAGAAAGAAAGAACATTAAAATGACACTGGCCCGAAACGTCTTCTTAATACACACATTTTGGTTCATCTTGATCCGCAACCAAAAAATGTTGCTGAATTCTGCGATAAATTTTTTCCAGAAAATTAAGAGAGTGTGGTCCTCAGGTCAACCATAAACTGATGTTGGTGCTTCAACTGCATAGAAATTTCAAGAATTCAGTTCAGTAAATTCATTTTGATTATTTTTAAAATGATTGCACAGCTAAATATTCCTTGTTAGTGATTTGTCATATATCTATGTTTCCATTGTTAAGAAATAAATCAAATAAAATCAGACTTGCGATTAATTTTGTAACATGATATCTGTTAAAAATTAATTTATGATTATTGTACACAGAAAAAACTATGAATAAAAAAACATTTTCCATAACAAATATTTTTGAAATCTATTTTCATACCATCAGAAATGTTAGAGGTATTATTAATTAGAACAATGAAGAACTCTAAGGCAATACTGTTCGAAACAATTATAGATGTTATGTTTTTTTCAAACAGAAATCCCAAAAGTTACCTTTTACACTAGAAAAATATCAAGCTAAAAAGAAAGATTTAGAATTATTTTTCGTAAAAAAGATAAAATGCGAAATATCTCTATTTAATGAAATTATTTATAAATCAGTAAAGATATGCAATTCGTCTTTCCATTCATTTGGGGAAAATTGTTTAAATCAAAAATACAGTTTTAGATAAATCTGAAAATATAAAAAAATGTCTTTATATAAAACATACAGAAAAGTAGAGAAGAACGCATAAGACTATTAAGTGTGAGTGTTATATGTTGGACTGAAAATAAGGTAATATTTTGACTTTAGCAACATCTACGGAGAAAGAGAGAAGAACGTTAGAGAAGAGAATCAACGATGAAAATTTGAGTAGAAAATAATAATTCGAACAATTTCAGGTCCGTCACTCAGATGCTGTAGTGATTATGAGAGCCTAATGCGATAGCGAAGGGCCTTGGATTCGAATCCCGGAAAAGGCATAGATGTTTGTAAATGTATAGTGTCTTTGCGGCATGGAGGCATTCTAAATACATGGCTAACCGTAGGTCATCTTGAGAAGTTGGTGATTGGAGAAGAGTGGTTGACACCTCGGATGGTGATAAAGGCTCTAGCCAACAAAAGGCTTAATCTTGCTCTCCTTGCCACAATGAATTTCGTGAGATTGTTCTGATGCTACTGTTAGAAGGTGAGATAAGCTATAACACAGCTCAATTTCAGGTCCAAAAGTTGGTTATTATGGACTACGTATCTCTTCCAGATGATGTTTATAAGATAAGAAACAGCTTATTAATTAGACATGATTCTTTTTGAGGACCTATACGAAACTCTTTAAGTTTCATGCATTTTTATTGAACAGTGTCATATGACAAATTTAATTAATTTCTCAACTGGAATTAATGATCCAATAGTTATTCAAGTCGATTAAATGTTTTGAAAAACTATATACCTATGGGTGTTTAAATAATGACTGATAGGCAGATGAATTTTCACTTATGAAAAAAAAATTCTTAATTCAAAATTAGGTAAAAAAGTGCAAAAATTATAGAATTTATTTACCAAATGAGCATGTTGGACAAGGAATATGTCTAATTATGTTTTGGCAAGTGAAGTTGAACTTCGAGTAATATGGATCATCAGAAGAATATGTCAAAGATATGCACTGTGGATGCTGCAGTTTATCCAGCAGACAACAATCCAGTGTTCTGCCTCCACCTATGGAAAAAGCGACTTGATTAGATATGCTACAGAATTTTAATATGACTATCGATAATCATGGAGAATAAGATAAAGTAAAAATGAGTTCAGGATTGAGATGTAAAATTTATATTTGATGGAAATAGATTATGTTTTGTGATTTTATACACACATGGTATACCAAAAGGCTATAAGAATTGTGGAAATTATTACTTTTAAAATTTAACACACGTTCTGATACTAGCATTAACCTCAGAAGCTGTAATATAACATTCTATTTTCCCTGGAAGAGAGAAGTGGAAAATAGTTAAATTTCTAGGACGACCAAATAGCAGAGATTCTATTTGCTTGCATGATACATGTAAATCCTACTGTGCACCAATGGAATTTCTATGATACAATGGTTTTTGAGAAATCAAGAACTTTTGAGGAGTTAGAATTTGACATTTAGTTTGATATCACAAAACTTTACGACTCTAATTTGAAAACAATAACATTTACCCGCTTTCGTTCTACGTGGCGTTTCCATGAAGTCGAATTTCATCTATTTTTAGTTTGGTTCCTGTTTTTTATGTTCCATAATTTTTATTTATGATGGTCAGTAATTAAGTATGCAGTGAGTTTACTCTTATTCTGTAGTGCCTTAATTTCTCTCATTCAGATTCATGCATGACTATCATTGAAATGATGATACATTCTAACACTCACATAAATAAAAAAATTCAGATATGATTTCTTTTAAGTTTTCTACTCCCCGGAAAATTAAATCATGTTACTTAAGTGCATTGATGGTTGAATCTAAAAACATCATAGATTGAAACATTAAACATCAATAAGTTATGCTTTAGAATTGGCGATCGTGCCGTTTTGGAACGATCGTCTCCAGACCTCAACTCTCTGTTACATATGGCAGGATACAGACGTTGTGATGAACGAAGAAACAAATCGAACGCGAATAAGATAACGATAAAGCAGAGGAAAGATTTTTCTACTTGGTACAATGATAGATGTCCGCCGAAAACAACGCGGTAAAAACCTCGCGGACGAAAACTCCGTGCAGAAGAAACGCAAGGGACAGCATCATGGTACAAAACATTGTGAAAGATAAGAGAGCAAGAATAAAGTATAGAAAGTTTCAAAAGTCACCAAAGAAAATAAAGTGGTCCAAAAATGCCGCAGTCTTGAAACATCGCCATAGAAAATATCGTGGTAAAAATATTAGCATTACAAATCATTGCATGATGATAACATCGCAAACATATGTTGTCAGACTTTTAAAACTTTAAATCCATGCTCTTAGTACTATTTCAACTTTAAAAAAAAATTATGACTAGTCCCACGTTTCTACCATGATATTTTCTATGGTGATATTTCAAACCTACGATGTTTTTGAACTATTTTGTTTTCCAATGGCAATGTTTCAATCTATGATGTTTTCAGAACTGTGATGTTTTCTCCTTGCTGCACGATATTTTGTATGTCAGTGCTTTTCCTTTGCATTATTTTCTACTTGGCCTTTCCTTCCGCGATGTCGTTTCTTATATAAGATTATGATAGCGATTATTTTGATTGCCATAATATAACATTTATTTTATTATTAAAAACAGCATAAAATAATTTCATACCACTTATTAAACAAGAAAATCTAAATTGTTAAAAATGGGTTATAAAATATTTTTTACTTAAAAGCCTCTTAAATATGTATTAGTTCATGCACAAAAGCTACGCATATTAAGAAATTAAAAAATGAAGTTACAAATTTAAAAAATGAAACGGATAACAAAAGTAATTCGATTTCGTTGCAGAAGTTAGGTTTTAACGTTCCGGACTAAAAATATGTGCCAAAACTTAGCACTATATCGTTTCAAAATGGCATTTTGTGTCTAATCACCAAAATCCTTGAAATACTTTTCAAATTGTTGCCACCAAATGTTATCGCTCTGTATTATATTTAAAGGAATTAAATAATGAAGAATGTGCATGAATGTGTGTATTTTTCTAGCACCGTCAAAAAAGAACTGTACCCAGAGCCATCGAATTTTGAATTATGTAGTCCTCCACCAAAATATGAGCACCTGGAAGCTAAAATTTTGAATTTATTTATCAGTAAAGTCACTACTGACTACGTCTGACATAAAGTCACTACTGCAGTCAGTGTATGCGAGAAACCAAAGAAAGAAACAGGAATGCTACTTTCACCTGTTCGCGCGGTGCTGAACTTAAAATATGTGCCAGTGCTGCTGCCGCAAAGATAGGTATATTGACAACGTAAATTCAGATGTGCCAGCATTGCAGCCCATGAACGACTTAATTATTTAAATAAAGATGTACATTTAATTAGCAGACTACTTGCACGTGAAGATATAAACAAATATTACTTTCAAGTGACAATAAGTGTTATTGTTCTATGACACGGAATCAGAATGCTGAATAAACACTTTTTTCCAGATATTTAAAAATTGTATGATGGCAGAATGTTTCTATCATACAATCAGAATCAGAATACTGAAATAATACATTTTACAGTTATTTAAAAATTGTATGATGGCAGAACGTTTCCATCATACAATGAGAATCAGAATACTGAATAAACACGTTTTCCGGTTATTTAAAAATTGTATGATGGCAGAACGTTTCTATCATACAATCAGAATCGGGATACTGGATAAACACTTTTTACATTTTATTTAAAAATTGTATGATGGCAGACGTTTCCCATACAATCAGAATCAGAATACTGAATAAACACGTTTTTCCGGTTATTTAAAGATTGTATGATGGCAGAACGTTTCCATCATACAATCAGAATCAGAATACTGAATAAACACATTTTTCCATTTATTTAAAAATTGTATGATGGCAGAACGTTTCCATCATACAATCAGAATCAGAATACTGAATAAACACGTTTTCCGGTTATTTAAAAATTGTATGACGGCAGAACGTTTCTATCATACAATCACAATCAGGATACTGAATAAACACTTTTTACAGTTATTCAAAAATTGTATGATGGCAGAACGTTTCCATCATACAATCAGAATCAGAATACTAAATAAACAAGTTTTCCAGTTACTTAAAAAAAATGTATGATGGCAGAACGTTTCCATCATACAATCAGAATCAGAATACTGAATAAACACATTTTACATTTATTTAAAAATTGTATGATGGCAGAACGTTTCCATCATACAATCAGAATCAGAATACTGAATAAACACGTTTTCCGGTTATTTAAAAATTGTATGATGGCAGAACGTTTCTATCATACAATCAGAATCAGAATACTGAATAAACACTTTTTACAGTTATTTAAAAATTGTATGATGGGAGAACGTTTCCATCATACAATCAGAATCAGAATACTGAATAAACACTTTTTACAGTTATTTAAAAATTGTATGATGGCAGAACGTTTCCATCATACAATCAGAATCAGAATACTAAATAAACACGTTTTCCAGTTATTTAAAAAAATGTATGATGGCAGAACGTTTCCATCATACAATCAGAATCAGAATACTGAATAAACACATTTTACATTTATTTAAAAATTGTATGATGGCAGAACGTTTCCATCATACAATCAGAATCAGAATACTGAATAAACACGTTTTCCGGTTATTTAAAAATTGTATGATGGCAGAACGTTTCTATCATACAATCAGAATCGGGATACTGAATAAACACTTTTTACGTTTATTTAAAAATTGTATGATGGCAGAACGTTTCCATCATACAATCAGAATCAGAATACTGAATAAACACGTTTTCCGGTTATTTCAAGATTGTATGATGGCAGAACGTTTCCATCATACAATCAGAATCAGAATACTGAATAAACACATTTTACATTTATTTAAAAATTGTATGATGGCAGAACGTTTCCATCATACAATCAGAATCAGAATACTGAATAAACACGTTTTCCGGTTATTTAAAAATTGTATGACGGCAGAACGTTTCTATCATACAATCACAATCAGGATACTGAATAAACACTTTTTACAGTTATTCAAAAATTGTATGATGGCAGAACGTTTCCATCATACAATCAGAATCAGAATACTGAATAAACACGTTTTACAGTTATTTAAAAATTGTATGATGGCAGATTGAGTTCAGATAAACTATAAGTTAAAAAATGTTAAAATTATTGTGTCATTACTCACTTGTTGATGGTGGAGTTCGAACAATATCGTGAGCTAACAACTGACCAAAGAACGGAAACATCTGCGAAATTTTCACTCTTGGTAGTTTTATGTCATCACTGAAATGCAAAGATAACGTCCTCGGATGAGGTAAAGGTTCTCCATTCGCTGCATCTGCTATCCCAGATACACCTAAATGAAAAAAAGTGTAAAATTAATTTGAGCGAATCATGAATTCTGCGTGCGATAAGAAAACAATTTCAGAGGCTTTCTCTAAATCTTTCTAAAAGTTATTTTTGAAGAACTTAAATTTGCTTTAAAATAGCAATATTGCAATTATCCATCATAAAAAATATAACAGAATTAAATGATGGATCAGAATTCATAGTTAATATTAGTTAATGAAACTACTACGCTTTGAATTGGGTGTTATTCCGTTTCGGGGAAAGGAAATAAACACTATAACAATTTTTAAGAAACTACCACGGCGCAGAAAACGTGAACAATAAACTAAAGGTTTATCTTCGACTTTCAGCTTCACACAAAGCCCCAGATTTAAAATATTTGCTTGGTGCTAAAAATTTCCTTTCATATCTGTGGAGGCGCTAAAAAGCGAACGTCATGAAGCTTTATGACTTAAGTAGAGGGCCTCCCTAAGCAAAACACTTTTCATTCGTTTGATAATGGTGCCTGTATGTTTGATCTAATGTCGTTCTATTATGGTCCTTGGACCTTGTGTTATGTTCATGTACCGGCAGAACTACTCGAGTGGATTGTCTTGCTTTGATGAGGATGAGAATGAAGAGAACAAGGTTAATAAGTATGATGATTAGAATAGGGATGAGGGGAATCAAAATCAAAAGAATCAGGAAGAAGATGAAGAGAAATTAAGCATGACGAAGCGTTTATACTGTTCAAAGCGCTTCATACCGATCTTAGACTATGCAATTATGTTCAAACATGTCTGTATTCAGATATTCAGTGTAAGACTTCTACTATCTGTTATAACCTAAAGTATTACTGAGGCTATCCGTATTAATTTGTTAATAACTGTGGCATGTATACCCATGGAAAGATCATTTGATAATGCATACAATTTATGTACAGTTATCAGGACTACTCTTTCTCCGTATATCTGCTTTGCGGATATGTAAGTGTCCTGAGTAGAACAGTTAGTTTACTGGAAATTATTGTAGAGGAGATGACGAAGATGAGAAGGGTTTAATTACCCTTTATTCTCCACAAATTACAGGTGCTCCCGCACTTCGGAGATGCAAACACCAAACACTTATGGACTGAACGTAAGAAAATAGGAACTACAATCTAACTAAATTTAAATAAGAGCTAAACTTGAGTACTTTACACAAATAACACTAAGATTGGTCTTTTAGGATTTTAGGTATGTAGTAAGCAAACTGCGGGAAAACTACAATACGTCTTTAATATCAAGAAGACTAAACCTCTGGCCTTAAAGGCGGACAGCAACTGATTGAAAGCACGCGTGAAATAAAGTGGCGAGAAGACTCACTCTCTCTCTACTTGGCGAAAGCCACAACTTAAGAGTTTGCAAGCACAATTTGCATAACCAAACTAACGCGTTTATTCTGGCCGGAAGTGGAAAATAAGAGAGGACAGTAAAGTTTTAAAATAAAATAAATGTCAGTAAAACTGAAGATCCTTATACATTAACCATATTATGTAATGGGTAGTCAGTATTTATATACTTAGATCAAGTCTTCTTATGTACTATTTTATACTATGTATACCGAATATGTGTACAGTTATAATATATACTGTTCTTACACTACATTACAATTTTGGAAATTATGTTGAAACATGTCTGTATTTAGATATTCAGTGTAAGTTTTTTACTATCTGTTATAACCGAAAGTATTACTGAGGCTATCCCTATTAATTTGTTAATAACTGCGGCAAGTGACCCCACAGAAAGGCCATTGATAATGTATATAACATATGTGCAGTGACCACGTTATGTGATAGTAGGCATACTCGTAATAGCATAACGGCTTAGTAACGTCTGATCATTGTGCATTATTCTTAGGAATAATTCCATGGAAATATCCACAAACGCACGATGGTACTTTCCTAGAACTTCGGACTCTCCACTTTTACTCTAACTCATCTAGTGATTCAAACACGAAGACATGTTATTGTCAATAGTAATTCCCACCCCCCACGAATAATCGTAGCATTCCTATGTAAGGTGACTAAGCAACAATAACCTATGTCCATAAAACTCTTCAGTTATAACGAAACAAACTACTCTGGATGTCTTCCACCGAACAGGCATCGTTCTGCATAGATTTTTGAAACGGAAGACTGCTCCGTGGTGTATAGTGAGTGGCGGCAAAAATGGAATTTTCAAATCACGAGAGTTTTAGACCAACTCACCAACAACCAGTTCTCAATATCTAATAGTTTTAGACAGTGCTTGGAAGTAACGGTAACTCCTTTGGCCACATCGCGTTTCTTAATTTCTTCCTTCTTCTTCAGAATAGTGCCGATCATCGATCTTGAATGATTATCGATGTCGAGCGTAAATCTTCCTGCAATTCCATAACTCTTAGCTTATATTTTATATTATATGATTGCTTTCTTACGTTCAACGGCCATGACTTCCTTCTTTTTCTTTGCAGCACTATCTGAGCCAACAGTCCTCTTGGGAGGCATCGCGAAATAATTATTTTCACGTTAAATGTAAAAAACAATTAACTCCCAAGCGCAAACATGTAGATCAAAGAACATTGAGTGAACTGACGAGGGCCGACCACGAGGCGACCCTGATCGGGATACGCGTCATGCATACCAACAACCTGACTCGTTACTCGAATTAATGCTTGTATTTGGAGACGAATGTTTTGCCCATACATTCCTCGAATCTCGAGTTTCTCGTATATAGAGGTACTCGTATCTCGAGGCTTCACTGTAACTTAATTTTACTCAACAAATCCGAAAATCGATCGATCACAAAAATAATCTGATTCATCATTATTCACATCTTTCTAGCTATGTAGAGACATTAGTTTTTTTTTTTTTTTTTTTTTTTTTTTTTTTTTTTTTTTGTAGCAGGAGACGTGAAAAATGAGCAATGCCCTCGCTGGAACTCGAACCATGAATTTTTCGAATACGCGTCCAGCGTGCTGACCGTATTCGAGAACCTTGAATTTAAATCACAGAATCCACGAAACCGATGATATATTTGAGCTATACAATACTATTTTATAACCGAAAGTTGATACTTTACGGGTAAAAAGCAGAAAAGCTGGTTAGAGAAATTACTGTAATGTTGTTTGCTCCATGCACAGAGTCACTTTGCTAGATAATACTTTTACAGGCGCCGAAAACGATTGTAATGCCAACTACAGAACATTTGAATTAATTCTGGTAGCTACATATAGTTGCATGCTTCATTTCAATGCTAATAATTAATGATATTATTGGTTAGATTTTCTAGATTTACATCAATATTTCTCAGCTGTCTTTGTGATATTTTTTACCATTATTTGACATAGTTTCACTCTAAGTGTGCAGAGACATTACGTTTTTTCGAAGCAAGAGACGTGAAAAATGAGCAATGCCCTCGCCAGGACTCGAACCACGGACCTCTGGAATACGCGTCGAGCTTGCTGACCACTACACTACGAAGGAATGTTAAGAAGGCGGGAGAAATACTTTATAACTATCATTATTAGGGTCTATCAAACTTCGGGATGAAGCGAGTAATATTGACTCTAATAGTCTTTCGTTTTCATTTAAAAAACGTAATATCATCCATAACGTAGCCTTAGAACGGCATTTCAAAATGCACAAGCAGAGAAACAAAATTCTACGGGGTATACGTAAAATAAAATAAAGCCACACTTGCCCCTAATTCTAGAGTAGCTGTTCAAAATCCTATATCTATCAAATTTCGGCTCCAAATATTGCGTTCAAATATAAATTTTATTTTCGCTTCTATGCACGCAACCGTTCTAAACATAAGCATTTTCTTTTTGCAATTTAGTTTTGCCAAATTCAGAAATTAAATCAAACTCAGCACGTAGTAGAATCGTGACTGACATCACGAGCAATACTGTGTATCGAGAGGCCTGAAAAAAGTCGTTTCACTTTTCTTTCAATTTCATCAACCACAAATCTATCGTTTACTTATCAATAAGTGTTCAGAAGAGAGTCAGACGTTGACTTACTCCGTACCCAGGTAAAAACCTACTAGCTTCATCTTTTACTCTGACCATACATACCCCGAAGGCGACAATATATAGTTATATACGGCATAGTGAATAAATTCCTTATTTATTTATAATTTTTTATGTGTAATATAGTGTATTTAAAACGTAAAATGATATAATAATTTGATTCAGCATTTTTAATTGTTTATTTGACAGTATGTTTAGTTCTTGACACTCGAACATTGCTAGGATATATGCCTGGCTAACCAAATAATACTTTGCTAACATTTTCATGGTAAGAAGGGGGTTGTTTGGAAACGCAGCTCGTTTGTATGGTGTGAAACATCTTCATTTCCAAGTTCAGGTTTCCGGTCACATGTACAGTGAGAAAAAAAGGGGGGGGCAGTTCTGTATCTCCCGTTCTACTGGGCCAATTGACGAAATTCAAACTGTAGTTTTCATGTCTCAAAAGCGCGACTTAGGATATATATTTGATTTATATATAGCATTATTCTAACATAGGTATACACGAAATCCGATTTTTTTTCTGAAATAACATATAAATTTTTTCCATATGTCGATTCTACGACTCATTATGTCTAGATATTAAATTTTGTAAATATTTAGTGAGAAAGTTATGGAGAAATTAAAAAATTAATCTTGGGCCATTTTTTTTCAGTTTACGCCAAGAATTCTTAATTCATAGTAACTACTTATTTTCTTTTTTCATTGATGCACGAGAGGAAAAGAGGTCCATCGTTCATTCATTCAAATAGTTTAAAAAAATGGCGTAAACTACATTTTCGATATTATCGTTTATATTAAATACGCCAAATTTGAAAACGCACCAAAATGTAAATTCACGTATATCTTAGGAAATTTTGAATAAAAACTCTAATTTTTTGCACAATGCTTAGAAACACATCTACTTTAAGGCGATGTTAAAAATTTTCTAGGTTATAATAAAAAATGTTTTCAAAACATTTATGAAAAATACAAATTTAAAAAATAAATTATAAGAAATGTACGAATTATATTTGGATTAAGCCTAAATTTCAAATTCTAGAAAGTTGCGCTTTCGAGACCGTTTAATTCCGTTAGTTGCGCTTTCGAGACATGAAAAACGAAAGTTTAATTTCGTCAATCGACCAGTAGAACGGAAGGGTGGGGTACGAACTGAGCAAAATTTGATCGAAGATCCCCTCCCCTCTCTTATCTAATCCACGAACTGCGCGACGTTTCTTGTCCCCTCTTTCTTTACCAAGAAGATTGGGTGCTACAAAAAGACATTTATTGCCATTAATGGGACAATTTATTGAAACCGCAAGCCTCTATTTTCGTTTATCAATATTGTAAAAATTGTGCATACAAAATAAATATTAATTTAATGTCTGCCGTGTGCTAAAGTAAACATGAATTTATTTACACTCATTTTAAAGTTTTATTATGCTTAAAAGAATAATGAGCCAGATCTTTTTTATTCTCTGTAAGAATTAAAAACTTTCCAAGCTGTAGATTTTAGTTGCTGACATATCAGTTTTGAATAATAAATTTGATAGATTAATGACATACACAAAACTTATACATAATCAACCTATCAAATATCGTATTTGTAGCGCACCTTAAATAAGTTTCTTGTCTAGGTAAAATATTAACAGATCTTCTTAGGTACCAAAATGGTTTTAACTTTCAAATTTACTATTATAGGTAAACAGTTCTTATTTAATTTAAACAATTATCTTTAGTAAATCTAAAAACAGGATTTCTTAAGTGGTTCTAAATTCACACTTATATTATTGCAATATATTGCCGTAGTAAGCTTTCCATTTTTAGTCATTGAAGTTATTTAAAGGTTAACTTTCTTAGAAATTCCATATTTTAATACTAGAAACGTTTAAATATTTATTCTGTTTCCCAGTTACTCTACCTGAGGTACTTTGGCATGCATTTAATTTCTAACGCACATTTAATTAAAAAATTGAACTCCTTTATATTCATATCTTAGGATTTTCAGTTCCCTTTTAATCCATTCCTTTTTCACATACTGTTGCACTGTATTCAAGTTTTCATGTATGTAGAATTTATATATTTTGTATTGTATATATGCCAATTTATATTTAAATGATAATTTTTATAAATTCTTGCATCATAACTCTAGTTAACAGAAGATGTTTCTAACACATTGGTAAAGCTTAATCTTCAGCACACAGCACATTTTCTAACCTAGTTTCAGGCTGAATTATTTGTAAAACTAATTATTTGAAATTATTTGCTCACAAAGATGGTCGCTAAATTACGCTAATAATATTTCTAACTGTTGTAATTTATAATACAACGAGTTCATGTGATTTATAATATAATTCATTTATAATTTTTTCAGCAGTATTGAAATTAATAGCAGATACTGATAATGTTATGCATTTAGATTACAATGATTTAGCTTGCCATCGCCTTCTGCACTGATGCTTTTATACTACATTCTTAATATTTCATAATGGCATACAGATAAGTTTAACTCATTTCCCAAACATATAAATCTCTGATTCAGCCCACTTTTGCGGATGTATCTTCTATTTTATTTAATATATTGTTCAGCCTAATTTCAAAATGTCTTATGATCAAGCAGAAAAGTCACTAAACATTGGTAGTTCGACCAGAGTTTCTAAACCAGAAATCTCCCAGCTCTTTCTTTTTTTTTTGACTTATTTACTGTGTAAAAATGTATCGTAAAAATTTTAGTTCATGAAGCAAAAAATATTTTTTAATTATATTCTTTAAAAATATTGCAAAATTTTTCACCTTAGTATATCTTTTTAAAAAGAAAAAAATAAGGAAAGAAATTAACTCGGATTCGATGATTGATAGCTCGGTCCAAATTATATATAACCTTTTCCAAAAGCAGAGAGTTTATATGGCTATCAATAAATTAAGGATTATTTCACCATCTAGTTTTCTTAACATGTTTATTCCAGAATTTTCTTTTCACACTGTAACGCTTAACTTTATGAGTTTTCTATAATCATTCAGTTTCTGTAGCCATGGTAATTTTGTATACCTTCTGACAAATAGTTATATTTTTAACCACCCTATTTTAATTCCTGTTGACTAGAAGTATATTATTCACTTGTTTCACAAGTGAAAATATTTATTTTGTACGTAAATCTACGTAAAATAGCAATAAAACTTCAGCTATGTGGAGCTCCTGATCGATTGCTTGTTTTAGAATGAATGAAATTAAACTTAATGTAACTGTTAATTAGCTTATTATTAATTTAATTGTACGTTTCTAATTAATTATATGTTCAGATATTTCCAAGTATATTACAGAAACTTTTGCATCGCAATTTTTAGTTTTTGGTTAAAAATTAAGCTTTGAAAAGCTATTTTGTGCAATGAATTTGAGTCTTTTATTAATTTTACCTATTTATCTTTTAAATCTCTATTCACAGAGATTATCTAAAATCTATGTAGATTAAATTTATGCATCTAAAATCTGCTTTATAAAAGTTTATCATATTTATAGTAAAATGTGTGTTGTAACAAAACTTATTTTAAGGTGAGAATTATTATTTGATTTATTTCTTAAACTGGATGCATGAGAAGCGACCGAACCAATAAAGACATCTCTTTGAACCATATCGTACAGTTGATTCCCGTTTGACGAACTTCAAAGGATTAAAATTTGATTTACTGTTTGATTTGCCGGTGGTTTGCTGTATCCAATTTAAACATGGGTCGTTTCAAAAAAGGTATACAAACTGATTTGTGAATCATAGAAAGAGAATTCATTATCAGTACTGTCACATCTACGAAAGAAGTTAATAAAAACTTTAATTAAAACAAAGTTAATTCCCATTATTCTTACATGCGAATAATAAATTGTTTTTTTTTTTGCTGTTATTACATTTCACCATTTGTCAATAATTCTTTTCGATACAAACAAACCGTTTAGGACAAAAAATTTTCATTTCCTAAAAGACGAATCACATGTGAAGCCTCACGCTCAGAAAATTTATTTACCATTTTGGTTTTGCCTTAATAGCAAAAATTTCTATTGTAGCATTAACCTTGAGTAAAGCAAGGTCTGACAGTTGAAAAAAGACGAAAGGAATCAAAGAATCGACACGGATTCTTTGACTCAACTGATCAATGGTTGATAGGCTTAGCTCCTAGGCTCATAGGCTTTTAGCGCATGACGCAGTAGGAAATCCTAAGGTAGGTGTGTTTTCGTTTCGCAAGAACTGAGAGTTAGGCCTGCCTTGCATAGTCTGCTTAGAACACAGCGAAAAGTGGGAGTGAATATAAGAGAATAATAACCTAAAGGTGTTTTTCATTATTCGAGCAGCCTAAATAAATTCAAGAGTTAGTAATTTTTAAGCAGAAAATTGCAGAAATTCTGGATAAACATTTGCGAAATAAAAAAAAATCAGTCGAAGATATCCGTACTGTTCGATATATTCGATTTTTATACAGATGGAGGTTCGCTATAGCCAAATAAAATAACATGAAGTGCATAGGAAATTTGAAGGTAAATCAAAAATTGTGTTTGTTATATATGGGGACTTATTAAGCGAACATTGATTGCATAAATTAAAGCAGAAAAAATATTTTCTCTTACCTTTGTAATTTGCTGGTAAAAGTCTCTCATGACACGAAAACAAAGAACCCCATCTAGGATGTTTTAAGTTATTGCAACTGCCATCCAGTGTTCTGTATAGCGACGAGGAATCACACTGGGGCGCAGGTAAGACTTTCTTGCATTTCCTAACAATTTCTCGGAATTTAGGAATTTCATTGAGTTTTTCTATAAGTTCATTTCTCTTTTCTTCCGACAAATCATACCTAGAATTTAAACAGCACATTAAAACCTGATTCGAATATCTAATAATAAGAGATATCTAATGTTGAAACATGTTGTACCTTGAAGCTGTAACTCAGTCTCAGCTTAAAAAAAATCTGATGTGTACACCACATGACTTCATTGTACGGAATATTAAATTATACGCATTTTTTCTTGCATTTTATTTAAACTTATTAGATTGAATTAAACCTACTTCGCCGACAGCGCATAAATCACAATAGAATATATGCATTCTTTAAAATTCACTTTGTTTACCATAGCGACACTCTGGCGCTAGTTTACTTAAGGTATCCGACCTCGTTCGGGTACCATTTTTTTAAAAATGGTTTTTATTTTAACTATAAACATATTAATTTGAAGATAAGCATATTAATGAGTGAAAACAATTTAAAACGTAATGCTAAGTAATTTTAATTTTGAAAAATAATGAAAAAAAGGATAATTTTTGCTTAAATTTTGCCTTTACGGCAACAACCACGGTGAACAATGTATATATAAATATGCAGTTTTTTAAATTTGTATTTATATTTACACTTGTTTTGTATGCAATGAAGCGACATAATTAAGTTGTACTCTTGTTTTGTATTCTTGAGATATGTCAAAATATATCGTATTTATTGTATATTTTCCTATTATTGCATCCAAAATCTAAAAATAAAAAGTAACAATTCAACTTCTAAATAATATTTCTAAAATATTTTGCTTCAGAGCATGCATCAGATTATATGAAACATGTATAGAAAGCATCATTAAATTTTATCCATAAAATATTGAGTTATGGCTGTTACCATTGGCAATATTTACAGAAAAAACATTTTCAGAAAACTAGTTTAAAGTTTTCATAAAACAATTTCTTAGTGAAAGAAGCATCCTTGATAATTAAAATTCCCCTGCTTTGTAACTTAACACCTTGTTTTTATCTTCCCACACTTTGCACCTTTTCTTTCGAACAAAGTGTAATTTTTTCTGTGGGTTTTTGTAAAACTTGTGGAATGCCACCAAAAGTCATGATTTTGCACTTTATCAAGTTTTCGAATTCCCTGCTCAGTGTAAAATTCAGGGCACATACCTAACCCTGAAAACGCTTCAAGCAAATCTATAAATCCATCATTAAATAAAATTAAATAACCCAACACTTACATTTGCTCCAAACATTAATATTCGCAAGTTTATGAATGTTTCTTTCGGAACAATTTGCAATAAAATGCCATTAAACGTTCCTTGATATTTTGAGTTTTGCCATGTAGACACTTTTTAATAACTCTTGTTTATGTAGTCAACTCCATATATGTAGGTTTAATTAAATTCAAAATATATATTGATATACCAGAGGTTTTTGCCTAATTTTTTTCTTTCTGATTTTTTTCCTGATTTCTGCAATCACACATTCATAGTTGCACCAATTCATTGATTATTGAGGAGGGCATTGGCTTCGAAGAAGAGCTACAATGGAACAAGCAGTTAGTACAACCTGCTGCATCTCAATTAAGTTTCAAACATGACTTCTAATTGCAATCCCTAATTCTGCAGTTTATCAATAAAAGAATCAGTCAGTTTACCTTTTCCTTTCAATTCAGGCGCGGAGTTTTTTTACTTTTCGTAGTCCACTACCAACCCATGTTCAATGCATTCCACTTTCTTGACCGAATCTTTACCATATATATCTTTCACAATTAAAAACCCCTTAGAATCCCCATCCTCGTAATACTCCGTGTGCTTCAGCTTTCGTAATGTAATAGATCATTCAAACAGGGAATAAGCACCAACTGCTTCCATACCCGAAGCTGCTTCTTTATAATTTGCAGAACAATTATATTACGCTTTACATATGTCGTGCTGAAGATTGCATGCCATTCTGTTTATTTTGTTGCAAATGATGCAAAAATGTGACATAGCTTTCAAATCAAGCACTTTGTCAACGCTAATCGACAAAGCAGCAACACATGCATTCAACGTCGAATACTCTCTGCGCCAAATAAATACGAAATTTAGGGAAATAACTAACACCAGATTCTTAAAATGTATTTCAAAATATCTAAACTTGTAAACGCAGGTTTATAGTTTACAAAATCTTGATGATAAATAAAGTTTCTAAATAGGTATATCTATTAAAACGCTCACTTCCGGCCCAGAATATTGGAACTTCCGGTTTATTCAGTTACAGAAAAATGCTTATAACTTCAGTTCTAATTAACCTATCAACAAGCAAAAACTTGTATTTGATAGCTAAAGATGTATTCTTTAAGATAATGTAATAAAGTAAAAATCGAAATTTTGACCGAAAATCGTCTTTTGTACGAGGTCGGATACCTTAACAGTATTATATTTCATTCATATTATAACTCAGAATGCACAAAATGTATATCTAATCGTTGCCACATGTTCTATTTAAATACTATAATAAAGCTAGAACTATGTATAAAAGAAATTAAGCAAACAAAGCAAAAAAGAAACAGTTTTTCACTGACTATTGAGTATTTCTCATTTAATTAATTCAGTTCTCAATTCGCGAGAAGGCAAAAAAACATAAAAACTCAAAATATCTATATTAAAAATTACGAAGTAAATTTCAAACGCTTATTTCCTCGAAAAAATTACAGAAAGAATTAAGCATGATTTAATTCGCAATAATAAATGAAGGCGTTATTTTTGTGTTGCGAAGCTTAGTCTCTCTAGATTGGCAACAAATCTACAATTCTGCAGTTTCAAATGTAAACAAATATGTCCGCCATGTTATTTAAAAGTTAACCGCACTTAAACAGCTTTTAAATTGTTGATAATTGTACAAATATTGCTTCCAGAATTACGAAAGGTATAAAACCCTTAACCGGAAGATGAAAACAACATAATTCAATCATTTTAAAGCAAAAAATGTACAATTTACAAACATATAAGAGTAAAGAAACTGAGATCACTGAGCCGGGTAACAGAGTGGATATATATATAAATATATTTATATACGTTTGGTGCGGCCGATTGCAACCAAAATACGAGGTGCACATCTATATGTTATAGCAGTCCTATATACAAAATTTCAACGTTCTGAGGCTACTCGTTTTTGAGTTATGCGAGATACGTACGTACGCACGCACTTAGGTACATACGTTCGTATAGACGCCACGAAAAATTGTCTTCAGAATTAATTTTAAAGCAGTTTTATAATTTTTTTGAAGGAAAAGAGTATTGTATTCTGTCCTTATGTACAGATATCACGCAAACATCGTTAAATTGCATTCGAAAGTAGTCAAAATGGATATTTTCGTTGAAATATGCTGCCTGAAACTTTTCGCGATTACAATACTTCGTACAAGGAAGTAAAAATTGAAAGTTATATGAAATTATCATTTTTGATTAAATTATAAAGTGATTTTGAATTCATTTTCAGCACCATTTTACATAACGTAGGAACTTCACGGTGTAATATACTGTAATTTAAGTGGGTAGAACATAGGCTTTGCTGTTTTGTAAGACACATAACTATTCGAAAAAGATATGTAATACAAAAAACAGATGGCCAATTAGAGGTAATTCATGTAAAACAAAATGCTGGATACTTTGAGTAATAGCGTACAAGAATTGATAAAAGCAATGTTTAATTTTTCTTCCAAATGAACATTTTGGATTTAAAAGTACAGTCACAAACACTTTTACCCAGGTTCGATTAAATAATACAATTTAAAATTTTTTAACTGCACTGTGGTAGAGAAATAAACATAATTATAACTAAATAGACATTCATGCTCCCAAGAACGACATTAACATATTAATTTCAGAAAAAATTACTTTACCTTAAGAAATATTTACATAATAATACCTAGTTTTACATAATCATCCCTATATGCAAGGAGGAGGTTAAAAGTGCTTCAAGCCAACCTCGGAGTTCCATAAAGTAAAAGAAAAGTAAATAAAATACGCGATCTAAATAAACGTTCTGAGAATAAGAATACAAATGAATTTATGTAACTATAGTTCTTAATAGTCTTCGTTATTGTTCGTAGAGTGGAGCCGTTCTCTCCCTCACTCTAAATATCAGTTTGTCACTTCATTGTATTTCGTAGACAGGGACATTTGCTCGGATCCTTGTGCATCATCAGTCGAAAGCCAATATCCTAAGTCGCTAGTTAAATATCCTTGCTATGTAATATTTCGTAAATAGAAGTCTGAACGCCAGGATAATCGCACATCATCATTGAAAAGCCGAAATTCTGTCGCTAGCTAAGTATTAATAGTCTCTTTATTAATACTTCGTAAACTGGAATACAACACTCGGATCATCTCTATCATCCATTCGAAGCCAGAACCCGACATTATAAGTCGCTAAATTAAGAATTTGAATGCTCACAAGCCTCTTTATTTCTTTCATTCATTAAAGAACAGTTTCGAAGAGAATTTCGGCTGATAATCCTTTTTTCCAGTCATTAATTCAGTACTTCTTTGAGTTACACCTAATGTGATAAGAAACCATATTAATCGTCGCCTTTTCTTCTCAGGGCATTTATCGGTCACATTCTTCTCTTTGATAATATTCTAAATCATTCATACACTAAATCATCTTCCAGATCGCTGATACATCTTCATTCACTTCCCTTTTATCTCGCACATCCTCGAGAATCAACATCGTATTACTTTGATCTCTATCTTCCATTTTCACATACTCCGCAAACGGTTTCATCATCCACAAAATCTTCCCCACTTTTTTCCCTTTTCTTCTTTATGTAGCTAAACTCTAATCTAACTGAAAGTAAAAAGCGACTTTTCCGACAATATCTTTCCTATTGAACTCCAGACCTAATTATTAATTAAAAGCCATCTTATGATGCAAGTACGCCTCACGTGAACTCTATTGGTCATCAAACCACAACATTTGTTTGAACCAATTATAGCTACGCAGAAATTAAAATTAGGTGTGAAAAAGGTTTGCACATTGCCTCAAGAAAAGACAAAACAAGGTATTTTTTCTTATCTCATACGCCTTGGGAAG